AGATGCTTTTTGCCCTCCCGCGTTACTTTATATACGGAAGATCTCCGCTAAACATAGAATCACATGGTTTACCAATCTCTCTGTGACCGCCATAACTTCAGATTAAAGTTGACCACAAATACAACGGTGCCAATGTCTTTGCAATTAATACAAACAAGCAATGTATAAAAATATGCTTCAAATGAAAACCGTGATGACTGCATTAAAATATAAATACAGTAGGCTATAGTCCTATTAAAATCATATTGAAATAAATTTCATGTTCAATAAATTGAGTTCTATTTTGCTACTTAGGCTACAGTCTGTAATTATGGCTTGGTGTACAGGGAGAATACTGTAAGAACGGCCCATGTTCTGAATTATGTCGCTGTACATTTTAAAAGAGCTGAACAAATAGTTATATTGACTACGTCCGTCCTAGCTCGCTCAATAATGTCTTACTCGAAATTACGGTTTGCCTCTTGTCCGCACGTCGTCCCCTTATGCCATAGTTTGTACATCTCAATTGTCAGTAGAAACCACATTTGTTTAAGCAAGTCAGCCATATCAGCTGTTTTTTTTAAAGGCAGTAAATGAGGCTGAATGAAATGTTTTGCAGCCAGACAAGGCTCCGCTGATAGCCAGGTGTAACAGTGGTAAGGTGTTGGGACTGCTATTGGGACTGCTGTAGGCCCTAACAGTTTGTGGGCACTGTTTGTCACCGTTATAGTGCAATTAATGTATTGTTTAGTGTTGTGTTGTGTTGTGTAGTGGCTTTGCTGGCATGCATTAAAAAAAAATGTTTTTTTTGTTTGCCCCACCAATATTTACATGCTAAAATCGCCACTGATCCAGACTGAAGAGAAATCTGCAAATTTTACATTTTTACATTTAAGTCATTTAGCAGACGCTCTTATCCAGAGCGACTTACAAATTAGAACTGCATGCCACAAAAGGCCAAATGACTAAAAACTCAAGCATTAAGTTAGAGCATATTGAGTATAAATATAGTAATCAGAACATAAATACTCTGTTCATTCATACACAGACTGTGGTGGTTCATGAAGACCAGGTGAAGCCTTCACATGTGCAACAAGAGTTCATGTATTTTCAGGGGGGCCAAAATTGAAGACAACACTCCAAATAATGTGTCCCTGACCACCTGAAGTGGTCAGCCAGATCTGAACACAATCCGACCACAATGCAACTTTTGTGTGTCTAGACCTGTCGTTTCAATGCGATCTTCGTATTCTGATAGCAGGTCAATGTCCCAGGTAAGTGTCAAGTGTAAACACAGCCGTAGAACAGCTAAGTGTGTGATATATGCTCCCCCCCCCCCCCGAGTCACTTTATACACAGAAGATCTCCGCTAAACATAGAATCACATGGTTTAGCCCAGGGGTAGGCAACCCTGTTCTTGGGCTGCAGTCCAAACAAGTTATTTTTACCCCCCCCCCCCAATGACATTGATTTTAGCTTTAGTAAATTGGTTTAGTCTTGTAGTGAGGAGCCTATAAAACGTAGCTAGCTTCATAAACAAGTCCCCTGTAGCTCAGTTGGTAGAGCATGGTGCTTGCAAACGCCAGGGTTGTGGATTCGTTTCCCACGGGGGGCCAGTATGAAAATGTATGCACTCACTAACTGTAAGTCGCTCTGGATAAGAGCGTCTGCTAAATGACTAAAAAATTAAAATAATAATTGCACTATTACGGTGACAAACGGTGCCCACAAACTGTTAGGGCCTACATAAAGCTGTCCCAACAACTTACCACTGCTACACCTGGCTATCAGCGGAGCCTTGTCTGGCAGCGAAACAGTTCATTCAGCCTCATTTACTGCCTTTAAAAAATATATAGCTGATATGGCTGACTTGCTTAAACACGTGGTTTCTACTGACAATTGAGATGTACAAACTATGGCACAAGGGGACGACGTGCGGATAAGAGGCAATCCGTAATTTCGATTAAGACATTATTGAGCGAGCTAGGATGGACGTAGTCAATATAACTATTTGTTCAGCACTTTAGAAATGTACAGTGACAGAATTCAGAACATGGGCTGTTCTTGCAGTGTTCTCCCTGTACACCATGTCAGAACCGTAGGATAAATAAAGGGGCATACATGCAGACAATGAAAGCTTTTACAATATTCAATGATTACATTTCTCTAAAACAGGTTATAGGCTACATGTACACAACCAAGTCAGAACAGTAGGCGAAATTAAGAGGGGAAAATAGACCAAATTATTAGGGTGAGGCACATGGGCTACTAACAGCTTACTACACAACATACACTTAGTATTACTTTCTTAGCGACAGTATACATATCTCCCTGGCATATTACATCATTTATGCAGAAGCATACAATACTTTTTTGGACTCACCTTGTTGTGCTCACTTGAACAGGAAAGTGGAGTGGCGGTTCTTTGTGGGCAAGTTTTGTCATCAGACTTTGTCATCAAAGTCTGGCATTCTCTGGATTTATGGTGCTTTCAACACAACTGGGAACATCGGAAAAAAACAAGGTTGAATCATGATGATGTCAGTGATCTTCAGGTCGTAGCTCTAGAAAGAGGCCCAAATTCCCAACTTACAATTCTGAGTTGGATGACCATTCAAAACGTATTTTCCCAGTCTGAGCAATTTTTTCCTGAGTTCCCAGTTCTGAGTTAACAGTTGTTTTGAGCTCGGCAGAAATCATGCTGGATTGACAGCATGGCCAATGTTGAATGTTTATCATTTTAAGCTTGGAAAAGAGAACCTTAAACCGATAATTGGGACCACACACCCACTCCACTGAATAGCAGGCTAGTGATTGCTTTGCAATGCTTGCAGTTAGCCACTGATTCCTTCCAAACCACTCATTGTTGAATTTGCGATTTCCAACTTGTTGTGTAATGTTTATGTCCAATGGGCTGATGAGCACTGATACGTTTTATCTATCATTTCTCTTCATTATTTCTCTTCATATGACAAGGATTTAAAAGAATTTGCCAGTAGATTGTCAACTTGATTCATGATGATGACTGCTGGCTAACATTTTGAAAGTATGATGTTGACATGATCAGTCCAAACAAAGCTACTGTAGAAAAAACGTGATTTGACTTCATTTTATTTGTGGCCAATGACCTTGAGCCTTCTTGGATGGGCACTTCTAATGTAACTCTATGGCAGCACCCAAGGTTATTGAATTTTAGAGCTCAATCCTTAGATTTGGCAGTGATGTAGTGTCCCCATGAGTGACAGAACACTGAGCCAATCACAGCGCAACTAGAGAACATTACCAACCCCTATGGTCCTTATTTTCCGCTGGCTGCCCCACCACAACAGAAAGCACTGAGCTAGGCTGAAACACCTGCATTTTGGAGCTGCCTTACTCAAGAAAGCAAAAAAGAGACCATGTTTGTATGGAGGCTTTATTAACTCAATTATGTTTTTTTTTTTTTTTTTTTTTTTTACATTGTTTACAAACTGATATGTGACACCTATTCATGCCAAAATAACATGCAAAACAGGCAACCCCCCCAAAACAAATCTACAAACGTGGGGCTCAAAATAGGGCTGCAGTCCAAACCCAAAGTAGACAGCCCTCGGCGCTAAACCCTCAGCCCTTGAATGACGTTTTACATCATCACATCCGAGTGTACCTTAAGTTTAGCGCCGAGGGCTGTCTACTTCTATGGAGACAGTCAATTCAATTAAAGTGTAATGGAGAATTTGATTTTGCATGTGGTTTATTATCAAAACGTAAGGGACTCACCAACAAACCAACAGAGTGAATAGCCTAATCGTTAATTTAATCAATGAATGAATAATCATCTTATGATGAAAATAAATACCTATGATCAATAAAAGGAATGTAAAATAACACCCTGAAAATATTATGACATTCTGACCGACTGCAGCCTGTTTCCAGCCTTGTGTGTGCCATCAAAGCCAGTCAAAATGACTAATGAATTTCACTGAAGGTTATACAGTAGATCACAATGAGGTAAAACTGATAGATGAAACTTCCTAGTACCAGACATGTGCTATCACGTCAATTCCTTGTCATGCCAAATGGCAAGGAGTGGCATGATGGCACAACAGACTGGTAGCCAGGCTATAACTTTCCTTCTTCAGGAAAAATAAAAATAGATCTGGAGTTTTGAGAGAGGTTGAGCTGAAAAGATATTGAGGGTAAATTGAGATACCATTTCTTCACAATATGATGGTGTATGTAAAATGTGATAGTAAAATGACAATTGACTATGAAAAATCACTCAACACTGTAGCAAGCTTTGTGTAGAATTACTATTCCAATATATTTTGAGATTTTGTCATAAAACATTTGTTATAAAACATGAGATAGGGCCTACAGGCTGGAACAAAAAGTGAAATTTTGTTGCATCTTTTTAGTAAAATAATTTAGGTAGTTTAATGAACATATTCAGATACTATACAACCAGCCTTTCATTACCAGTTAATTGAAATAAATGTTGTATTGTCAAATGCCTATGCTATAAAATCAAATAGGCCTAATGCCTCGACTGTCGTTTCATGGTTTATGCTCAAAATGTTCTGTGCCGTTTCATAAAAACACATTTTAATCGAAAGTGATTTCATTTGAAATAACCACTTCGGCATACACTTAAATGCCTTTACATATGCTATAAAATACTCAAAAACAATGGTACCAATTAGAATACTCCATTGAGGTTAATTGTATGCCATTGTATGGCATTTTCCTCCTCCTAGGCTTATACAGTAGGCCATTTTTTTTTTTTTACGATAGTGAATATTTGACAGGTAGGCGCGGCCAAAGCAGACAGGAAAATATGAATTATGTCCCTCCCTCAAGATAACAAAAGCTCCTGGGTTGGTATAGGCTAAACCTATAAGTAGGCTATTCTCGGATTCGAAGGAGACACATGGAATAATCTTACAACACATGTAACTACTCTTGAAAGGGATATTGACATTTGAAACTGTCAGGAAGTTGCTGTTGGGTTGTTTTGAGCAATACCGATAATCACAATTTAAATGCACTGGAAAAGTGAACAGAAATTAGAATGTTGCAATGTTGTTGATGAGAATGAAAACGGTTCCAACGATGGGGTAAGTTCTGTTTTTCTAGCCTAGGACTAACCTACTTAAAAAAGAAAAGGATGCGTCAAAGATTCTGCTTTCATCGGAACAAGTATTGTGCCATCCTTTCAGGGCAGCCTGCAAAGATATAGCTATAGGTTTATTATAAAAAAGTGCGGAGAATGATAACAAAAGGGGTTGAAATAGAATTGCTTGAAATTACTTTACCAATTATACCTGTCAATATTATATTGTATGTCTTATATAGCGGCAGGTTCAGTGTTTTCACTTCCTAAATATTCAGCAATTAAGGCTGAAGTAGTTAATGAGACCTCTTCACCTTTAGGTTGTCCCGGGCAAACGTTTGTGTCAAAATTAATTGGTGTTATTAAATAAATCAATTCCCTTTCCCTGTCTACCTCGCGCTCGTTTTGATTGACATGCGAAATTGATACGTTGGGGAGTCAACCGATGTACTAAGCAGTTCAGAATCCCCAAATGCAAATCTCAAGAGCATAATGCACATTTGATAACTATTACCTCAAGTGTCGCCTGTTTTTTGAAAGTAATGACTATCCTTCCCTTTTTAAATGTCATTTTGATAATCGCTGGGGTAGTCATGTTAAAAGGTGAAGAGGATGATAGTTATGGGATGTAGCTTGGGGAGTTTTTTTTAAAGCGGCTGAGCGTGACAGACAAAAAAACCCTGTTCCTCTAGCTTGTCGTCATGTGTGAAGATTGCAAAGGCGACGCAGAGGTTATCCGCAGGTGGAGAGAGGGCAGGAGAGAAATTCTAATGGTAACATTTCCTAATTTGATCTAATGAATAATTTAAAAACGTTCTAAAAAATTCACCATGCATTAGGCTACTCACATGCGATTATGTTTAAGTTATAAAGGTAGAGAGGTTTGTTTGTTTTGTTTCAACCACATGAGCCTGTCAAAATCTTTAAAAAAGGCATTTTGCAAATAATAATAATAATTCGAATGGACCGGATAACCTGAGTAATTGGCGTCAATGCGTGATTTGCGCCAAAGTTTTTGTTAGCACCTGTATAAAGTAGGATTCGGCAGAACATGGTCTTAACTGCGGTATGTTTTTCATTTCAGGGTACACCGGTGGAAGTTTTGGATGACGATTCCTGCTCGCTCGGCTCATCCTCCCCGTCGCTACAGGCGATGGTATCTGCACCTCTGTTGGGTAGAACTGTTTGTGCAAGTTGCAGTGAGGACATTTTGGATAAATACTTGCTGAAGGTAAAATTTGTGATTGCATCTTGTTTAAACGTTTCAAATTTTTTAGGGGTGTTCATTTTCGTGCATAGCTTGTACCTTTTGTATTGATTTTAGTCGACTTACTGTACAACAATAGGCTATTTTTGCATTAGCATTAGCCTACTACTAAATAATGTCAGAATATTCTTGTTATTTCATTATTGTATGTTTTTTTCATAGGTTAACGACTTGTGCTGGCATGTGCGTTGTCTCTCCTGTAGTGTGTGCCAAATATCGCTTGGAAGTCATACAAGTTGTTACATCAAAGAAAAAGAGGTCTTTTGCAAATTGGACTACTTTAGGTATTTCAAATTGTTCTTGAATCCTTCATACATATCCAATAAAATCGAGTTTAATTTTTTAACATTTAATTTAAGGCATTTTTATGCATGTGCATGTCATGGTATTTGGCTTAAATAATACATCAATAAATAAACATATTATTATCAGTTATGTGTAACACGTTATTTATAAGATTGGATAGCATGTAAAAACATTATTTTGGGGTTAACCCTTATTTTATCAGGTAAATTGACTGAGAACACATTCTCATTTACAGCAACGACCTGGGGAATAGTTACAGGGGAGAGGAGGAGGGATATGCTTTTTATGCTTTTATTTTATTTTGCATTTAATTCCACGACTAAACCACCATCTAAACAAAATGGCAAGTATTTACCTGACTTTTAAAACCTGTAGCCTATTTATTGCAGAAGATATGGAACATGGTGCGCGTGCTGCGGCCGAAATATCCACTCTACAGACTGGGTCCGCCGGGCGAAGGGCAACGTGTACCACTTGGCGTGTTTCGCCTGTTTCTCCTGTAAGAGGCAGCTGTCCACGGGGGAAGAGTTTGCCCTGGTGGAGGAGAAGGTGCTGTGTCGTGTCCACTACGACTGTATGCTGGACAACCTGAAACGCGCCGTGGAGAAAGGTGAGCATGCTGCAGCGGAGTAATACAAATATTAGCACAATTTATGCCGGTATAGCGACCTGAAATATGATAGAAAATAAATCGAATAACTCATAATAATATGCAGCAATCTTTGTCAATTAAAACATATACTAATGATTATTTATTATCAACATAGGTGAAGTGGAGCCTAAATATGTAGTCCTAACAAAATAGATAATGTTGAAAGTGTTTCTTAAATTTCTGATATTTGCAAAGTTCCTGAATATACCCATGCTTAATGTGGTGTCTGGACAACTACTGCACCAGAAGCTCCTAACTTTTCAACTATGTGTATTGGATATGTTTGTAAATACGTTCTGGAAGCCACTGAGAAAACAACAATAGGATGAATGCATTATCTTTCATTAATATGTTCTAGTCAAATTGATCATAGATATGTATACTTTTTTACTGTACTGTAAAATACATAAACCAAAAGATAAATCCCCTTGACATTTGATAATAAAACAGACTACATTAGATTGTCAATTGATTGAAAGAAACAAAAACAAAAAACAACAACTATTGTCTCTGATAGGGAACAAAAGTAACTTCCCATTTCTCAGATAAGAAGCCATTTGGTGTATAGATGTCAATAAACAAGATGTCATATTAATGTCTAATGCTTGCCATGTCGAGTATCATGATTATGAGCTCATTAATTAAGAAGATCCATCATGTTATTTCAGGAACTGGTGTGAACCTAGAGGGGGCGATGCCAACAGAACAGGAAGTGAATCAGCCCAAGCCGTCGAAAAGAGCGCGCACCAGCTTCACCGCTGACCAATTACAGGTGAGTATCACTGTCCTGTCGATCTCTCCCAAACATAGCCACAATATATAATTGTCAATAATGTCTGACTGTTCCCAGCCAATGGGTTCAGGCCAAGTGAGGAACAATGGATGACCACATGTGATTGACCTGTGATTGACCTCTTAGACCTTATGACCCCTCCAGGTGATGCAGGCCCAGTTTGCCCAGGACAACAACCCAGATGCCCAGACTCTGCAGAAGCTGGCAGAGCAGACAGGCCTGAGTAGGAGAGTCATACAGGTTAGATATTCATACACAGTTCAAATCAACACATGCCTTAATCAGCATAGGACATTACTGAATTTCTGCAGTTAATTTGTAATATTTTTGAGGATTTGTTGTGTTGAAAAACAACAACTCTAAAACTCTAAAAACACCCCCTTGGTTTCCTGAAATCTCCTCAAAAACAGCATTCTGGGATGGGTACATCTGTTTACCAAAACAAGTGGTGGGGTGCCACTTTGTTGTTGTTTGAATTCCAGATTTCCACTTTAACCCTCATACTACCAACATCTTTTACATAAATGGATTACCAACTAGGGTCATTTTGACCCCAAGAAGAAACTACAGGAAAAAGCAGCAATCATAGCAAAATGTCAACTTAATTCATATCAAAACACCATTAGACATGTAAATAATTTTATCTGAAATAAAAAACGAATAAAAACAGACTGTTATTTTAGCAAAATTACAGTTAATTAGTATATTTTGTTAAACAAAAACCAAAAACATATAAAAATAATATATATATATATATATATATACAGTACAAGTCAAAAGTTTGGACACACTGACTCATTCAAGGGTTTTTCTTTATTTGTACTATTTTCTACATTGTAGAATAATAGTGAAGACATCAAAACTATGAAATAACACATATGGAATCATGTAGTAACCAAAAAAGTGTTAAACAAATCAGAATATATTTTATATTTGAGATTCTTCAAATAGCCACCCTTTGCCTTTATGACAGCTTTGCACATTCTTGGCATTCTCTCAACCAGCTTCACCTGGAATGCTTTTCCAACAGTCTTGAAGGAGTTCCCACATATGCTGAGCACATGTTGGCTGATTTTCTTCACTCTGCCGTCCGACTCATCCCAAACCATCTCAATTGGGTTGAGGTCGGGGGATTGTGGAGGCCAGGTCATCTGATGCAGCACTCCATCACTCTCCTTCTTGGTCAAATAGCCCTTACACAGCCTTGAGGTGTGTTGGGTCATTGTCCTGTTGAAAAACAAATTATAGTCCCACTAAGCCCAAACCAGATGGGTTGGCGTATCGCTGCAGAATGCTGTGGTAGCCATGCTGGTTAAGTGTGCCTTGAATTCTAAATAAATCACAGACAGTGTCACCAGCAAAGCACCCCCACACCATAACACCTCCTCCTCCATGCTTTACGGTGGGAAATATACATGCGGAGATCATCCATTCACCCACACCGCATCTCACAAAGACACAGCGGTTGGAACCAAAAATCTCCAATTTGGACTCCAGACCAAATGACACATTTCCACCGGTCTAATGTCCATTGCTCGTGTTTCTTGGCCCAAGCAGGTCTCTTATTATTGGTGTCTTTTAGTAGTGGTTTCTTTGCAGCAATTCGACCATGAAGGCCTGATTCACACAGTCTCCTCTGCAGTTGATGTTGAGATGTGTCTCTTACTTGAACTCTGTGAAGCATTTATTTGGGCTGCAATCTGAGGTGCAGTTAACTCTAATGAACTTATCCTCTGCAGCAGAGGTAACTCTGGGTCTTCCTTTCCTGTGGCGGTCCTCATGAGAGCCAGTTTCATCATAGCGCTTGATGGTTGTTGCGACTGCGCTTGAAAAAACGTTCAAAGTTCTTGACATTTTCCGGATTGACTGTGCTTCATGTCTTAAAGTAATGATGGACTGTCGTTTCTATTTGCTTATTTGAGCTGTTCTTGCCATAATATGGACTTGGTCTTTTACCAAATAGGGCTATCTTCTGTATACCACCTCTACCTTGTCACAACACAACTGATTGGCTCAAACGCATTAAGAAGGAAAGAAATTCCACAAATTAACTTTTAACAAGGCACACCTGTTAATAGAAATGCATTCCAGGTGACTACCTCATGAAGCTGGTTGAGAGAATGCCAAGAGAGTGCAAAGCTGTCCTCAAGGCAAAGGGTGGCTACTTTGAAGAATCTCAAATATAAAATATATTTTGATTTGTTTAACACTTCTTTGGTTACTACATGATTCCATATGTATTATTTCATAGTTGTGATGTCTTCACTATTATTCTACAATGTAGAACATAGTAAAAATAAAGAAAAACCCTGGAATGAGGAGGTGTGTCCAAACTTTTGACTGGTACTATATATATAATATTTCCAAAGTACAATCCACATACAGTGCCTTCAGAAAGTATTCACACCCCTTGACCCTTTCCACATTTTGTTGTGTTACAAAGTGGGATTAAACTTGATTTGATTGTCATTTTCTGTCAACGATCTACACAGAATACAATCTAATGTCAAAGTGGAAGAAAAATCCTAACATTTGTAAACAATTAATGAAAAATAAAACACTAATTTATCTTGATTAGATAGGGATTCAACCCCTTGAGTCAATACATGTTAGAATCACCTTTGTCAGCGATTACAGCTGTGAGTCATTCTGGGTAAGTCTCTAAGAGCTTTGCACACCTGGATTGTGCAACATTTGCCCTTTATTATTTTCTAAATTCTTCAAACTCTGTCACATTGGTTGTTGATCATTGCTAGAAAACCATTTTCAGATCTCGCCATATGTTTTTAAGCCTATTTAAGTCAAAAATGTAACTGTGGGGTACAGAGATAAGGTAGTCTTTAAAAAATAATGTTAAACACTATTATTGCACACAGAGGGAGTCCATGCAACTTATTATGTGACTTGTTAAGCACATTTTTACTCCTGAACTTATTTAGGCTTGCCATAACAAAGGGGTGGAATACTTATTGACTCAAGATAATTCCACTTTGACACTATGGGGTATTGTGTGTAGGCCAGTAACAAAAAAATCTCAATTTGATCCATTTTAAATTCAGGCTGTAACACAACACCAGCCCTCCTGTAGCTCAGTTGGTAGAGCAGGGCACTTGCAACGCCAGGGTTGTGGGTTTGATTCCCACGGGGGCCAGTATGAAAAATGTATGCACTAACTGTAAGTCGCTCTGGATAAGAGCGTCTGCTAAATGACAAAAATGTAAAAAAAAAAAAATGTGGAAAAAGTCAATGGGTGTGAATACTTTCTGAAGGCACTGTCAGTACTAAAAAAACAGATTTACCATCATTTCATTGTAGTATCATTTTGTTTTTAGAATTTGTAAGTAAATACAAATGACGTCATATTTACAGTGAGGGAAAAAGTATTTGATCCCCTGCTGATTTTGAACGTTTGCCCACTGACAAAGACATGATCAGTCTATAATTTTAATGGTAGGTTTATTTGAACAGTGAAAGACAGAATAACAACAAAAAAATCCAGAAAAACGCATGTCTAAAATGTTATAAATTGATTTGCATTTTAATGAGGGAAATAAGTATTTGACCCCTCTGCAAAACATGACTTAGTACTTGGTGGCAAAACCCTTGTTGGCAATCACAGAGGTCAGACGTTTCTTGTAGTTGGCCACCAGGTTTGCACACATCTCAGGAGGGATTTTGTTCCACTCCTCTTTGCAGATGTTCTCCAAGTCATTAAGGTTTCTGGAGACTGGCTAGGCCACTCAAGGACCTTAATGTGCTTCTTATTGAGCAACTCCTTTGTTGCCTTGGCCATGTGTTTTGGGTCATTGTCATGCTGGAATACCCATCCACAACCCATTTTCAATGCCCTGGCTGAAGGAAGGAGGTTCTCACCCAAGATTTGATGGTACATGGCCCCGTCCATTGTCCCTTTGATGCGGTGAAGTTGTCCTGAAATACACCCCCAAAGCATAATGTTTCCACCTCCATGTTTTACGGTGGGGATGGTGTTCTTGGGGTCATAGGCAGCATTCCTCCTCCTCCAAACACGGCGAGTTGAGTTGATGCCAAAGAGCTCCATTTTGGTCTCATCTGACCACAACACTTTCACCCAGTTTTCCTCTGAAACATTCAAATGTTCATTGGCAAACTTCAGACGGGCCTGTATATGTGCTTTCTTGAGCAGGGGGACCTTGCGGGCGCTGCAGGATTTCAGTCCTTCACGACGTAGTGTGTTACCAATTGTTTTCTTGGTGACTATGGTCCCAGCTGCCTTCAGATCATTGACAAGATCCTCCCGTGTAGTTCTGGGCTGATTCCTCACCGTTCTCATGATCATTGCAACTCCACAAGGTGAGATCTTGCATGGAGCCGCAGGCCGAGGGAGATTGACAGTTCTTTTGTGTTTCTTCCATTTGCGAATAATCGCACCAACTGTTGTCACCTTCTCACCAAGCTGCTTGGCGATGATCTTGTAGCCCATTCCAGCCTTGTGTAGGTCTACAATCTTGTCCCTGACATCCTTGGAGATCTCTTTGGTCTTGGCCATGGTGGAGAGTTTGGAATCTGATTGATTGATTGCTTCTGTGGACAGGTGTCTTTTATACAGGTAACAAACGGAGATTAGGAGCACTCCCTTTAAGAGTGTGCTCCTAATCTCAGCTCGTTACCTGTATAAAAGACACCTGGGAGCCAGAAATCTTTCTGATTGAGAGGGGGTCAAATAGTTATTTCCCTCATTAAAATGCAAATCAATTTATAACATTTTTGACATGCGTCTTCCTGGATTTTTTTGTTGTTATTCTGTCTCTCACTGTTCAAATAAACCTACCATTAAAATTATAGACTGATCATTTCTTTGTCAGTGGGCAAACGTACAAAATCAGCAGGGGATCAAATACTTTTTTCCCTCACTGAATGTGGTAAAACCGACACCAAAATTTAAAAGATACTTCATTTTATTGACAAACATTTATTTATCCATTGATCCTGAGAGACAACGACCATAAATATGGTGTAGTTTTCTTTAATTACTTACCCCGACAGCCAGCATTAGCATCTCTGCTAGTGAAACAATGGGAGTGGTAGTACCTACAGCAGGATGCTTCAAAAAGCATGCCCAAATCCTCAAAGTCACACAAATGTTATAGCAAGCAAGCCAAATACCATAACAAGTTGCACATATAGAATCTTGGAGGATATTATAGGAATTCTGGTATTTATATAACATTTCCAGAAGAATAACTTTTTTTCAGAGAGTACACACCAATACAGCACTATGTACAGTGCATTCGGAAAGTATTCAGATCCCTTGACCTTTTCCACATTTTGCTACGTTACAGCCTTATTCTAAAATGTATTAAATATGTTTTCCCCCTCATCAATCTACACACAATACCCCATAATGACAAAGCAAAAACAGGTAAATTTTTTTGCAAATGTATTCAAAATAAAAAACGGAAATATAACATTTACATAAGTATTCAGACCCTTTCCTATGAGACTCGAAATTGAGCTCAGGTGCATCCTGTTTCCATTGATCATCCTTGAGATGTTTCTACAACTTTATTGGAGTCCACCTGTGGTAAATTCAATTGATTACATAAGCTGCTCCAGCTTTGCAGGTGATCTGTCTATCTGGTCAAAATCACTAATACAGGTCCCCCTCCACCCTTTGATGATACTGTATGTATAACTGAATATTATGTAAAATAAATACTTTTTTAGATTTGCCTTAGAATACCTACTTTTCAGAAAATACACACCAATACAGCTCTCTGTAGATTCAGAGTGTTTCTGAGTTCTGTATTGCAGTACTATCAAGTATTTATACCATTGGCAGACGTTGTATACCATTGGCAGATGTATATGTTTTTTAAAAGTTACTTTTTGTATTGTACACGGTCATACGATACGTGGTATAGAAAAGTACAATCTCAGGCGAGATGACATGGTGTGCTATATCTCGGCAGATGATCGGTCTATCTGGTCAAAATCACTGATACAGGTCCCCCTCCACCCTCTGGTGGTATGGATAACTTGATATTAAGTCTCCAGAGGAATCTAGATTACAATAAAGGTCCTATTAATCAAATTACTACACTCTTAGAAAAAATAGTTCCATAAGGGTTCTTTGCGGAGGGATAGGGTTCTACCAATAACCGTTTTGATCAGAATAACCCTTTTTGGAAGTCAAGGGTTCTTTGTAAGGCAAAGGGTTCTACCTAGAACCTTTAACATACTAAGAACTGTTTTTGGAAGAAAGTGTTCTTTGATGATTCTTTGGAAAGCGAGAAGGATTATTTGGAAGGGAAGAAGGGTTCTACATAGAACCATGTATAATATTTCCCAGCATGTTCTATTGCAGGGAGATTTTCTGAATTGTTTGTTTTACTGTAATATCTGTGTTTTTGCATGTACATTGATTGGTTGATTAATCTTATGCTACAGGAAGATAAAGAACATACCGTTTTCTAAACTAATCCGATCTGTTAGTAATTGGATTTATTGCACCAGTTACTGAGATGGTTGTTCCAGTTTAGATGATTTATGTAGTCTCAGTATTCAATCTTCCCTACCCTGGCAGTCATTCTGAATGCAGGTTGCGGGTGATTAACAATTCCACTTGTTGGATATCCTAACTCTGGCTGGATTCCAATAGGAATTACACATCACTTTGCAAGCCAGCATAATGTGACTTGCAGGCCTGATGTGGCCTGTAAACCAGGAGATTCATAACACCACTGTGTTAGGGTGTAACTAGGCCCTCAAAGAAACACCTTATGATATACAGTACAGTATGTAATGTATTGTCATAAATAATTCAATTTTAAAGTATATAAAAATAAAATGTATGCACTCACTAACTCTGGAAAAGAGCGTCTGCTAAATGACAAAAAAATAAGAAAAAGGCTAATAAGGCTGGTGGAACTGTTTATAGAGGGTTCTAGGAAGAACCCTCCAAATATAAAAGGGTTATCTGTAGAACCCTTCATAGAGGGTTCTAGGTAGAACCATATAAAGGGGGTTCTTTGAAGAACCCTACATATAGGGTTCCAGATAGAACCCTCTGCAAAGGGTTCTACCTAGCACCAAGAAGGGTTCCGCTATGGGGACAAACCGAAGAACCCTGTATGGTTCTACTTAGCACCTTTGTTTTTAAGAGTGTATAGGCAGAAATAGGTGCTTTTGGCTGGGGTCAAAATTACCCCAAAGGACTTCAATTTAAAAAAAAGTCCATATTGATACAGAAACACTAAACAATTATTTGGATTTATTAAGAACAAGTTGATTGACACAGTCATGAACATTTTGAATAATTGAACAAACCATCTTAAATTGACCCCAGTCGGTAGGTAGTAAGTATGAGGGTTAACACACATCAATTAAGTGTGCCACTATTGAACGCTAGTACTAAAACATGGCACTACTTACTGTATATCCATCCAGGTTTGGTTCCAGAACTGCAGAGCACGCCATAAGAAGCATGTGAGCCCCAACCACTCCTCAGCCACCCCCCTGTCCTCCCTGCAGCCCGGTCGCCACTCCCAGCCCACCCCAGCCCCAGAAGAGCTGCAGTACACAGCCTACGGCAACCCAGAGGGCTCCATGCTCACCGCGCTGCACTCCTACATCGATGGTAAGCTGAGAGATAGCCTGTGAGATGGCACCCTGGTCCCTTTATAATGCTCTACTTTTGGACCCTATGAGCCCTGGTCAAATGTAGTGCACTATAAAGTGAATAGGGTGCCATTTGGGACGCACTATAGGCTGCACCAGAGACATATAGAAAGACATACGAGTATGGCTCTGGGCTGCACTGTGTTTAGCAGTCAATTAGAGTTATAGGAGCAGTAATCTCTTCTGGACAGACTATGTAATATAAATGGTATCATTTAACATTATGTGTGTCAAAAGACTTACAAGAGACAGTATTTCCGGTGCTCTGGTTTTCTGCCACTGGTTATTTGGACATATCAGGATTGGGTGATGGTGGTGCTTAAAGTGGGAAGGGGGATTTCAAGCAATGATTTCAAGTGTAACGTTTTCGGAATGGGGGGGAACCTAATCGAGTATCTGACCCAATTACTCAAGATTTTAGTTCTGGTTTTCTGAGATTATAGAAACAGATTTAATAGAAGAGATATTAGGGCTTTGACGAAACATTCGTTTTGAATATGGGACACGTCCCTAATGGCACCATATTCCCAAGATAGTGCACTACTTTCAACCAGAGCTCTATGTGCCCTAAAAGACCAGAGTAGTGCACTATAAAGTAGTGATGGATGTATTATTTGAGTGTCTCATGCTAGTCCTCTATCTCTCCACAGTGCACTCCCCTCAGTCTATGCTGTTCCATCCCCTGCTGCCCCCCCATTCCATGGCCTCCCTGCCTGTGACCCACGCCTGAGCCACACACACACACACACACACAGGAACATGTCAATTTGCCAGAGCCTCACACACTACCAGGGATCTAGCAGGTTTCTTGGCACATTAATTAATTGTAACATTTCATGTGACTTATCACTAAAGGTCTTGTTAGAAGCCTTATCTGTCTGAAAGGAGCCCCATACACACTCAAGTTGTACAACTGATGTACAACGCATTTGTCACAAACGTTTTTTTCTCCCCCAAAAATAAAAATAATAATTACACAAGCACAGTGGTTAAGTAAACATGTTTGTGCATACACACTCTTTGTTGTATCACACAAATATGAGTTGTATCACAACCATTGTGTCATACTTTGTACATCAGCTGGATAACCTGTGTGTACATAGCTTTGTGTATTTATTGCAAAGTGCCACAGTTTGATGCCGATCTTTTATCAAAGGGGGAAAACTAGACTGCCATTGACAAACCATTGTGACGTTTATCTTAAATTATGAATTCTTTGTACATTAGTATTTGAATTATTGTTGTTTCATGTATTTATTGTATGTGATTAAGAAAATAAATGTTTATTGACAAAATTACTTTATAAAATAGTGACAGTTTCTACTCACATCAACAACCAACAGTACCACAATGCAGCAAAGCAAAATGGAAAAATGGGTTCAGTCAATGTCATAAATGTAATGTTTATTTTTTAAGAATGATAAATGGCATGGAATGCACCTCAAAAATAATTAATAAGTCAGGAATGGTTGATTAGCATCAATTTATTTAAAAAATGAAAGCAAACCCCAATCAAATATTATTGTGATTAAATAATATGCATATATAAAGTCCAAATATGCCAAATTCTTTACATTTTAAAAATACATTTCTGAACGATGTTAGGAATCTACCATTGGTGAGAGGTCACAGACATGTCAAAATGAATTTATTCTCTCCGCAAGAGGCTTTTAGCTTCTTGTCACTGTGCTGTTTGTAATCTGTCCTTGCGTTGTCCTTGAGAGGCAGAGGGAAACTAAGGCACACACTAACTCACCATGAGCTTTTACTTGTGTCTACTTGTTGTCTGTGGTAAAACAAAATAATTCACTTCCCAAAGAGGGAGGGATTCTTCTTATTTACCTCCTTATCTGATTTGTCAAAGGTACAGCATTCTACCACATGGCGATGGAAATTAGTGGGTGAGTAGAAAGATAAATGACTACATACTGTATATTCTTTTGTCATCTTGTGCCTTCAGAAAGTATTGACACCCCTTGCCTTTTCCACATTTTGTTGTGTTACAGCCTGAATGTAAAATTGATTAAATGTAGATTTTGTGTCACTGGCCTACACACAATACCCCATAATGTCAAAGTGGACTTTTTTACTAATTAATAAAAATTGAAAAGCTGAAATGTCTTGAGTCAATAAGTATTCAACTCCTAAAGTTCAGGAGTAAAAATACTTTACTGACTACCTCATCTCTGTACCCACACATACAATTATCTTTAAGATCCCTCAGTCGAGCAGTTACATTTGTTTTTGTTTTAACTGAGTCCGCAACTCCCGTGCGGACTCAGGAGCGGCGAAGGTCGAGAGCCATGCGTCCTCCGAAAACACTACCCCGCCAAGCCGCACTGCTTCTTGACACACTGCTCGCTTAACCCGGAAGCCAGTCGCAACAATGTGTCAGAGGGGGGCGAAGGCAGCGTGCATGCGCCCGGCCGCCACAAGGAGTCGCGAGACAAGGACATCCCAGCCGGCTAAACCCTCCCCTAACCCGGACGACGCTGGGCCAATTGTGCGCCGCCTCCCGGTCGCGGCCGGCTGCGACACCCTGGGATCGAACCCGGATCTGTAGAGACGCCTCCAGCATTGATCAGTGCCTTAGACCGCTGCGCCACTCGGAAGGCCCTCAAGCAGTTAATTTCAAACACAGATTCAATCACAAAGACCATGGAGGTTTTCAAATGCCTTGCAGAGAAGGGCACCTATTGGTAGATAGGTAAACATGTAAAATAAAGCAGACATTGAATATCCCTTTGAGCATGGTGAAGTTATTCATTACACTTTGGATGGTGTATCAATACACCCAGTCACTACAAAGATACAGGCATCCTTCCTAACTCAGTGGCCGGAGAGAAAGGAAACCGCTAGGAATTTCACCATGAGGCCAATGGTGACTTTAAAACAGTTACAGAGTTTAATGGCTGTGATTGGAGAAAACTGAGGATGGATCAACAACATTGTAGTTACTCCACAATACTAACCTAAATGACAGAGTGAAAAGAAGGAAGCTTGTACAGAATACAAATATTCCAAAACATGCATCCTGTTTACAATCAGACACTTAAATAAAACGGCAAAAAATGTGGCAAAGAAATGTACTTCATGTCCTGAATACAAAGCGTTGTTTGCGGAAAATCCAACACAGCACATCACGGAGTACCACTCTACATATCTTCAAGCATGGTGGTGGCTGCATCATGTTATGGGTATGCTTGTCATTGGCAAGGATTAGGGAGTTATTTTTGTTGATAAAAAGAAATGGAATAGAGATAGGCACAGGCAAAATCCTAGAGGAAAACCTGGTTCAGTCTACTTTCCAACAGACTGGGAGATTGGGAAACAAATGAACCTTTCAGCAAGACAATAACCTAAAACACAAGGCCAAATATACACTAGAGTTGCTTACCAAGATTACATTGAATGTTCCTGAGTGGCCTAGTTACAGTTTCAACTTCAATGGGCTTGAAAATCTATGGCAAGACTTGGAAATGGCTGTCTAGCAACGGTCAACAACCAACTTGACAGAGCTTGAAGAATTTTGCAAATATTGTACAATCTAGGTGTGCAAAGCTCTTAGAGACTTACCCAGAAAGACTCACAGCTGTAATCACTGCCAAAGGTGATTCTAACATGTATTGACTCAGGGGGTTGAATACTTATCTAATGAAGATATATTAGTGTTTTATTTTTCATGAATATTCTACAAATGTTTTAATTTTTCTTCCACTTTGACATTACAGATGCTTTTGTGTAGTTGACAAAAATTACAATTAAATCCATTTGAATTCCACTTTGTAACACAACAAAAGGTGGAAAAAGTCAAGGGGTGTGAATACTTTCTGAAGGCACTGTACATACTTTAGCATATGCATAGTCATAAATAGTTTATTGGCATCATTCCATTATAGTGGGACTGTTCTTTCATGGCAATAATAGGGAGACAAGAAAACACAGTGCATCTGTAACAATCCATTCAAATTATTATCTGATATGCATTACTTCCATATTTTCATGTTACATGATTTTACATTTACGTCATTTAGCAGACGCTCTTATCCAGAGCGACTTACATTATTTATTTATTTTTTCATACCCCCTGTGAGAATCGAACCCACAACCCTGGCGTTGCAAACGCCATGCTCTATCAACTGAGCTACATCCCTGCCGGCCATTCCCTCCCCTACCCTGGACGACGCTGGGCCAATTGCGCGCCGCCCCATGGGTCTCCCGGTCACGGCCGGCTACGACAGTGCCTGGATTCGAACCAGGATCTCTAGTGGCACAGCTAGCACTGCGATGCAGTGCCTTAGACCACTGATCATAAAGTTGTTGTGCCCTAACACAGGTCGGATTTTAAAAAACAAAAATGGTATGGCAGTGATGCCACTATGGGACAGACATAGTAAGGCCACATTATCTGTCCCCACAGTGCTGCTGCACAAAGAAGGAATGGGATGAAGCCTTTAGACCAAAAACCTTGAATGACATACAAGAGGGAATGGGGCCAAACATAATTTGTAACACAGTGTGATTTATGGTCATTGGTGGCCAGAATCCAATACATACAGGTAATTGTCCTTGAAGGCTGCATTCCTGCTGATTTCTGTTGCTCTTTGGCACTTACTTAGGCACCTAATTGTAGGGCTATTACATTTTTAGTCATTTAGCAGACGCTCTTATCCAGAGCGATTTACAGTTAGTGAGTGCATAATTTTTTTTCATACTGGCCCCCCGTGGGAATCGCACCCACAACCCTGGCGTTGCAAGCGCCATGCTCTACCAATTGAGCTACAGGAGGCCTATTACATACATACAATTGGAAAAGTTAGAAGGTTGAGACAAAGAGAAATTAGCACAATTGACAATGTATGGCAAATAGCTTTCTCAATAGGAGAAAATAAAAGATAATGCTCCAAGGAGCTTGAAGAGCATAATTATACATAACTGTACATGGTAACTATTTACATTTCATGTACAGTATTAACCCGAGCAGCCATTCACTCAGCTGTCTTGGTGTAACCTCTTGGGAGGTTTATTAAAGGCCAGTGCAGTCAACATTTTTATTTCCTGTTTTGGTGGGATGGAGTTTTGGCCTGCCTGGTGACATCACCAGGTGTCAAATTAGCTAATAGACCAATAAGAAAGAGAGTTCCAAACCTCTCTGTCAATAACAGCTGGTTTTCAGTTTTCCCCTCCCCACTCAGACCAGTCCCACAGTCCTAGCATAATTCTTGCTTGAGAAATTGCTCTTTGCTAAGAAGCTATTTTTGTTTCTCTTTGACCACTTTAATTGAAAACAATCACAGTAATGTACTTAATTGTTACCCAGAATTGATTTGATATCGGGATTAAAACGGCTGTATTGGACCTTTAAGATTTCCACGTTAAGAGTACCATCTTGTGGCTGGTTTGAGTTCCTGCATACTGAGTGACATGGGCCTGCTGACAGGTAATATGTGGAGCAACCTATTATTATACAAATATATACTTCGCTGTTCACTAAAGTAAGTGCTTCACAGTACATTGGTAAAACCAAGAACTTGCAGTTGCCTTTAAATGCATGATTTGGCCACAGTTATGCTAACCATACTGTTGTCATTGTGGATTCATGGTGATGGTTTGTTAGTACATCAAGTACTGTACGGCAAGATAAGAGAATTCCCATATTATGTCCAGAGCATAATAATAATGTCATCAAGTGCATTATGGACCAGGATTAGTATTGTCTGTCTTCCATCACTACATCACACACTGGTGCCTTCCCCATCTCCATCAACTCTCCTGCCTCTGTCTCCTCCAGTCACCCTGTATCCGTTCCTCTCTTCTCATCTTCCCTGCTATCTCTTGTCTTTCCTCCTCTTGCTGTTCTTCTTGTTGAGAATGTGTCTAAGGGTGCTGCTCATGTAGAAGGGTCTGGCAGCAGAGCCGTTGTTCACCTCCAGATCCACCACTAAGGACAGGAACACATAGCTAGTCACATACCACAGAAGCTATGTTACATACCCCTAAACTACTATTAAACATTCTCTAACACGGTCATATTCCTCCAAATCTATTTGAAATACCAAACTCATTTCTACTCTCAAACCCACTTGATCACAGCCAAACCACCTTTTATTACCTCAAACCCACTGTTTGACAACAGGTCTTCCCCAAATCCTGTGCAATACCACAAACCCAGTGTCAATGTAAATATTTCATAAACCCTCTGTTTAATACAAATGAGATATCAATTACCTAAGAGTTGTGCTATAATTGAACCATTCAAAAAAAAAAGAAGGAAAAAATAAGATTTAACATTTTCATGGAGTCATTGATACAAAAGAGTTCTCCTGTACAAAAACATTAAAAAGCCTCCAAACAGATGCGAGTTACAGTACCTAGTATTAAAAACAGCACTACTGCACGTCCATACGATTCCATATAAAATTACTAAAAATGGCTTTAACATCCTTTTATAAACGGTATTTCAAAGGTTCTCGGTGTTAGAATGTAAAACCACAAAACAATAAGAGGAACATTTTTCCACGTAGAATTAGGCACGTTTACTAGCGACTGCATTAAGAATTCCTGAAAGGTGTCAGGGTCTATTCAAATCTCATTCTTAGCATAAGCATCAATGTGTTCAGAAGTCTTGACCTCCCTTAGCCTACATTATATCTGTCATTTACAGTATATCAATGATTGTAAAACCAAACCATACTACAAGTGTCTGTGACTCTGTAGATTTATATCAAATGTCATTTATGAGTGTGTTCAGTTTATCTATGTAGCATTACACATTAAGTTTGGAATAGTGTTCTTGTGCCCAGGACTCTGTAGCAGTATCTGTAACAGTGTCAATAAATATGGTGGACCAAATGTGCCTCTTCAACTAATGTTAAGCATAAACAGCCCAAAAATTATCATGCTTTACAGAAAACCCATCTCAAGGTTATTTTCCACACATGTGCCTAAAACAGTTATTGGGTGGGGTAAAACCTCCCCCAATCCTAACCTTAACCATTGGTGAGGAAAATGCTAAACTGACTGACCCAAGATCAGCGTCTAAGAGCAACTTCACCCAAAACACCTTACATTACAGTACATATAACCATTGCACAAACACAGTAGTGTCAGAAGGGGGTGCCCTTGTACTGTATCACCCCACAACCCCATAATGTTTTTACCATCTGAAAAAGTACACCAATTGCATCCGAAATACAGAGATCTCCTTTTGCAGAATGTGTGCCTCTTGCAATGTGTTGGGCTAATGGCAATTTCACCCTCGTCACACACACACACACACACATGTCCACTGTGCTGCTGCAGCGCTCTCTACGTAAGGCACTGATCAGCAGTGTCGGCACGGCAGAGAAAGAAAGGGACAGAAGCACGACAGAGAAAAAAGGCAAGTATCAGAAGTATCAACGGCGGTGGCGGCGAGAGGGAGGAAGGTGAATAGAGCCTCGCCCTTTTCTAAACCCCACCTACATACACCACCCTCTTGGGTCCTGCCATGTCCTGCCAAGGCCTTCCTGGCCAGTCAGGAGTCCAGCCCAGCCATTAGGCCCTGCTCTAGTATGCTCCAGACCACAAACAACCCCACACATAGATAATAAATGGGTCAGTCCTTCAGTGAGTCAGTGTTCTGGCCTATCACTAGGCAGATGTTCAGTGTGGTGGCCTATCAGGAGGCAGCATAGAGCTTGGAGCCCTGCTCTCTGCGGAGGATCCTGTGCAATTGAGGGGACATGTAGAAGGGCTTGAGGGTCGAGCCATCGTTCCTCTCCAGGTCCTCACCTGAACCAGGCCCCACAGGATAGGAAGCATTGCCACAGAGGAGAAGGAGGAGAGGAGCAGACAACGTGTATGTAGGAAGGCAGAAAGAGAGAATACGAGAGAAAGGAGTTAGCAGAGCCAAACGATTTAGAAAGTCAAGCAGGAAAATTAATTAGGAGAAAAGTTTATAATGGTTTAAGTCAGCCAAAATGGCCAGTGCATTATAGCCATCTAGTTCAGTGATTAGAGTGCAGCCAAGGCAAGGTTTGACAGAGGACATGTAAATAACAGTCTCTATACAATTCAAATCGTTTAATAGTCTTCACTAGTTCTTCACTGTAAGAACATGTGATATAAATAATTTAATTGGTAAAACAATAATTACTGTGTAAAAACATCAAGCAAGAATAACCTTTTTACTGATTTATTTAAGAAAACTGTCCACCACTAATCACCACAAACATTCTAATAGGGTCATATGACATCGAGAACCTTTCAATTCACCAACAAAGTTCCAACACAAACCCTTCTGTGTCTTTGTGTGTTCACTTTGTATCATATAAACACCCTCACTCCCCAGACTGGGCTGTATTTAAAGAGATGAATGGTGTACTTACAGAAACAAAGGAATAAGGTGTCCACACACATAGCATAGACATTGAAGAAGCCATGGGCAATCAGGTAGGATCCAAATATCACCGTCTGTCAATGAGAGAACAGTTGAAGTCAGTGAACACACTTAGCAACAAGCAATGCTGACCCAAACTCTGTATGATGTATATATATTTCTTACCAGAAGGGGGACCCAGTAGTAATTTAGTGATGGCACTTCTTCTTGAATAACTGGTATCTTACGGGTGAAGAAGAAGAATGCTAGAACACCTGGGGAAAAATAACAATCACGATGAATCATGCGAATACAAATAGTGCCTTTCAAAGAGACGCCTGAACTCAAGCATGCACAGTATCACTGTTTCAAAGTACTGTTTCCCTTTTTGTATTGAGACTCATGCAGTGGTTAGACATAGTTTAGTACACCAGTGTGTGGGAAAGACAGGGAACTCACCAACACTCCCTGAAATAAGCACTTTTCCCAAGAAGAGCAGAAAGTCTGTCACCTTGTCCAGCACTGCCACCCTAAAGAGGAGGGGAAACTCATTGGAGAAGCCCAGAGGCCCAGAGAGAGACAGTAACCCCCATGACAGACAGACGGAGAGACAGACAGACAGACTCTATTCTAATGGAAACCAAGCTTTACAGTGCCTTACCTCACAACATTCCTCATCAGGAGGAAGAAAGCATCCTTAGCCGAGATGCAGAAGTTCTTCCCATATATCGCGATCTAGGGTGAGAAAGTATTCATGATTCCAACAGTTTGCGTAAAATGGTTATCAGAATGGCTTGATCTGCTGTTCTTTTATTTTATTTTATTTTTTATTTAACTAGGCAAGTCAGTTAACTCTGCACCATCCCAAACTCACCATGATGTAGGCGTTCCTGTTCATGAACTTGATGAAATGCTCCAGGCACCAGAAGCAGCATTTGAGACAGCAAATCAGGAAGCGGGCAAAAGCATTGTGAGCACCTGAAAAGACATGATGATCATCGTCATGAACTGATGGTAAAATAAATGTACACTACTGTATCTAAACATATAAAAAGGCAGTGGGTTTAGTATGAGCACAAAACCCACCTTTGAGTTTGTGATCCAGATACTCCAGAACAATGCGGAACATCTGCACTACAGCCAGGATCAGAGAGCCAAACGCCAGAGAGCCTGTGTGGTACCTGGGAGATACACCATACACTGTATGACCAAACTGTTAATGTGTGTGTTAATAAATTTAGCTTATACATCCACTATACACACACTCACTTCCCCCTTCAAATCATAGGCTTAAACACCTAAACACACTTAGAGACAGTTTCCTGGACACAAATTAAGTCTAGTCCTGGACTAGAAGGTATGCTTAATAGAGAATCTCCATTGAAATAGCTTTTTAGTGCAGGACTAGGATTCCTCCCTTAGGGGAAATCTCTCCAAGCAAGATGTACCATTATAAACTAATCCCATATGACTGAGCCAGACTACCTTACAGCCCTACTGAAGGAGGAGAACAGTGGACAGGATGGTATATCCTGGGGCTTCCTCAGGGCCCAGTAGTAGGAGGCGAAGGCCCCGGCCAGGGTGCATTGTCCCAGGGCGATGGTGAAGTTGACCAGCCACAGGAACACCAGCAGGTTACACAGCTGCAGCACAAAGATGTAGCGGTGGTAGAGGCTCTCGCCACCGTAAAAGGCAAAGGTGCACTGGGAGCCAGGGCACACCTTGGTCACGTTGGTCTGACTGAACGTCTGGAGAGATAGGGGAAGTTATTGGGTTAGAAGGAAATGACACCCTATTCCCTATATTGAGCACTCCCTCTGGTCAGAAAGACAGAATGTAGCCAGAGCTCACAGATGTTGTCACTGGCTAGCTATTCACATCTGAATGATGTGTACTCCTATTAGGGACAATAAGCTGCTCCAATTCAGGATTTAAGGCCAACAACATACAGTCGTTTTCAATACAGCAATAACACCAATGTGATTAAGAGGAAGAGAGTAGAGAGAAAAGCGAACCTCTGGATCACAGGTGAGGTTGGCATACATGCATTTGTCCTGCGTCGACATGACCTTGTAGACAGCATCGCCAGAAGACGCCAAGAAGCTGAGGGCAAAACCAGTTAAGGGCAACACAGAGGAATGGAAGCAGAAACAAGCATCACAATTTGTACCTGCTTATGAGCCATCAATATTGGGATTTCCACTAAAGGGTCAGCAGTTTTATTAGGTTCAATTAAATTCCAGCCAGGTTCAAGTAAATTCCAATCACTATGACTCCATGGGTGATAGCTCGGAATGATTCACCTGTAGCTACAATGGGTAATGCTGCATTCAAAGATAACTGTGTAAAGAGCACACATAGTACAGTGAGGATGAGGCTGGGTAGATATATAGAGAGGATACACAGCAGTGACTGCCCAGTATGCTATGCAGATGGCCAGCAGCACAAAAGTGATGATCGGGTAGAAGAGAGTGGACATGATGTAGCCAATGGCCCTGGAGAAAAGAGAGAGAAAGAGAATGGAGAGTAGTTAGGTTAAAAGTTAGGTTAACGTTCCAACACTGAGCACACAGACGATGGGTTCATTCAAAGTGACACAACAAGAGAAGGTCAGAGTCACTCTCCTGAGAAAAGATTGCCACTCACCTGCTCCCCTCCTTCAGCAGAGCGATGGCGATGCGTACTCTCCTCCTCAGGAATATCAGGATTATTATGATGACCGCCTCAATGACCGATAGGAAGATCACTGCAATACAAATGATTACTATTAAGCAGAAAACTCGCTATTCCTCAGACCACAGCCTCTCCTGGGGTTTTCCCAATAAATTTAAGCAATACGAGGTTGCATACAGGTAACAGGAAATCCTATGGTTTCCCCATCTCTGATTGAGAAGCAAAAGCAAAACCAGCAGACAAGTCTTGCACCCAACTGCTTCACAGCAAGTTCAAGAGACTCTGCACCTTGTGATTCACACAGTAAACTGAGTTGACAGCCTTGTGCTAGGCTAGTATTTCCTGTGCTAAACAAATAGATGGGAGAAGTGGATGGCCACGCACTGAAGATGAGCCAGGTCTGACTGAGCTGCAGGTAAACTCTGAAGTCCGTCTGAAAGCCGATGTCAGAGATGGTGACATCACCATCACCGTGCGGCTTCCCTCTCAGTGTACTGAACTCCCAGTAGCAGTGCCAGATCCCTGAGAAAGGGAGAGAAGAGAGAGAGAGAGAAAGAGACGTGACAAGTTGAGATAATGTACCTGTATATCTGCAACATTTAGCTTGCCATGACAACAGAGGCGTTGGGTGACAGCTGGAAGTGAGAAGATGTGGACACTGTCTCCCACACAAATCTACATACAGTAGCGGTATGTTTACCTTAAGTACAGTATGGGCTGGTGAAGTGTGGATACCGTACTCAGGCTAAAGATGGCATTGTGCTCTTTTAGTGAGGCTAAAGTAGCTGTTGGTCAGTGGTGGAGAGTGTACTGTATTACTAACCGTAGCCCACCACAGCGATGACTCCGAAGATGATGAGCCACAGGAGCACTCCGGCTGTGAACCGCAGCAGCAGGATAAAGGCCAGGCTGACCACCATGGTTATCACCAGACCTCTAGAAACACACACACACAAACACGCCTTTATGTCAGAGTGAGGACCACAGTAAAACATATACACATACAAAAATACATGCATGAATGCACGCGGACACACGTGTTGGTCTTACATTAAGATCCAGTACCAGGAGCTGGCATAATCCTCAAAGATCTTCATGCCAACCTCCTTGGCATCTAGCAGACTGGTAATGCCACTGTGAGGGAGGGAGAGGAGAAGCGAGAGAGAAAGATTGAGAAATAAAGAATGAGAACATGCTCATTTACAGAGAGAACATTGGCCTGTGTTGTGTTACAATCACTCTCACTTGTACACACAGCACAGGGTCACGACACACTGCAGTTTATGAGGGGGCTGTACAACCCTGGGAGACGGCACAGGTTGTAGGCAGGCGTCCCTTATAAATGTGTCAAACGTCTACATTAGGGTTATCAAAGCGCTAGGAAGCAGCAATGCTCTCTATGACTCTGAAGCAGCAGGTTATTACTCTACAACAGTAGCAAAGGAACCCTCGGGAAAAAAACATACAAATGGGTCTTGAAGCTTAGTTATTCCTGTAGGAATCTCTTTCTGTAATAACTACATGAACAAGCAGGATATGGTAACAGTTCAATGTACAAGCTGAACAAAGAGCTGATGGCAAAAATCACCGGGAATACTTCATCAGATATCCACCGTAGAACCACTTTACCTACAGCACTTCCGCAACAAAATATTGTGCAAATATCTGGCTTTGTGAGCCCTCATTACTGCATTGGTAAACTGACAACGCTACACTCTTAGAAAAAAAGGTGCTATCTAGAACCTTAACGTGTTCTTCGGCTGTCCCCATAGAATAACCCTTTGAATAACCCTTTTTCATTGCAGGTAGAACCATTTTGGTTCCAGGTAGAACACTTTTGGGTTCCATGTAGAAGAGGGTTCTACATGGAACCCAAAAGGGTTCTACCTGAAACCAATAAGGGTTATCCTGTAGGAACAGCCGAAGAAGATATCTGACCCAAAGTATTCCCTGATGCTTTTGCTCACTAGATTATCAGCCTCTACATGACTGATGGACAGCAGTAGAAAGAGACTAGAACCAACCTTCCCCTAGAGCTGTGCAGAATGTCGAGCACCAATCTCTGTCTGTTTTATGAGGACAGCCACCACACGTCAGGAGGAAAGCTCACTCTAGGCGTTAATTTAATCTAGACCATCATATTTCTATAAAAAGCCCATGACTGTATAATAGCACATAATACAACCTACTTAAGTAATTTTGTTGTTATGAAAAAGGAGCCACAGTAATTCTGCATGTACCAATGAAACCATAAGTGCTGTGCTATTGTGCCCAATGCACTCCACAGACCAGGCTTTAACAGATGGGGTTTGGACAAACCTGTCGAAAGCTAAATAATAGATGCTTTGTTAAAGTTTTTGGTGGGAGGCAGTGTAATTGGAATGAAATGCTCTGTCCTTGGACAACTCTTTGAAGTGCTTGGCATTCAGGGGGAAATATGTCAAAGGCACTGGTGGGCTGTTGACAAATCATGCGTGAGGGTGAGATGAGCCATGCCTGAGGGTTACCATCAGGCATAACAACAGAAGAATAGCTGGAGGGATTTTTTAACTTTGACAAAAATGCCCCTCTACAATGATTGTCATTTCTAATAGGAAATGGTGGAGCAGTCATCCTAACTACAGATGCTGAGGTCATACAAAGTTCAAAGTTTGGGCGAGATGAAAGATGGAATTACACCTGTCATAACAAAAGCATTACACCAGTCAAAACAATGAGATTACCAGTCACAACAATGCGGATGACATTAGACGACTAGTCATAACACATTTCTGGCTCTCACAGACCTGTAACTTCTTCTTTAAGAGGCTCCTCTGTCCTCCACTCGTTACCTGTATTAATGGCACCTGTTTGAACTTGTTATCAGTATAAAAGACACCCGTCCACAACCTCAAACAGTCACACTCCAAACTCCACTATGGCCAAGACCAAAGAGCTGTCAAAGGACACCAGAAACAAAATTGTAGACCTGCACCAGGCTGGGAAGACTGAATCTGCAATAGGTAAGCAGCTTGGTTTGAAGAAATCAACTGTGGGAGCAATTATTAGGAAATGGAAGACATACAAGACCACTGATAATCTCCCTCGATCTGGGGCTCCACGCAAGATCTCACCCCGTGGGGTCAAAATGATCACAAGAACGGTGAGCAAAAAACCCAGAACCACACAGGGGGACCTAGTGAATGACCTGCAGAGAGCTGGGACCAAAGTAACAAAGCCTACCATCAGTAACACACTACGCCGCCAGGGACTCAAATCCTGCAGTGCCAGACGTGTCCCCCTGCTTAAGCCAGTACATGTCCAGGCCCATCTGAAGTTTGCTAGAGTGCATTTGGATGATCCAGAAGAGGATTGGGAGAATGTCATATGGTCAGATGAAACCAAAATATAACGTTTTGGTAAAAACTCAACTCGTCGTGTTTGGAGGACAAAGAATGCTGAGTTGCATCCAAAGAACACCATACCTACTGTGAAGCATGGGGGTGGAAACATCATGCTTTGGGGCTGTTTTTCTGCAAAGGGACCAGGACGACTGATCCGTGTAAAGGAAAGAATGAATGGGGCCATGTATTGTGAGATTTTGAGTGAAAACCTCCTTCCATCAGCAAGGGCATTGAAGATGAAACGTGGCTGGGTCTTTCAGCATGACAATGATCCCAAACACACTGCCTGGGCAACGAAGGAGTGGCTTCGTAAGAAGCATTTCAAGGTCCTGGAGTGGCCTAGCCAGTCTCCAGATCTCAACCCCATAGAAAATCTTTGGAGGGGGTTGAAAGTCTGTGTTGCCCAGCGACAGCCCCAAAACATCACTGCTCTAAAGGAGATCTGCATGGAGGAATGGGCCAAAATACCAGCAACAGTGTGTGAAAACCTTGTGAAGACTTACAGAAAACGTTTGACCTGTGTCATTGCCAACAAAGGGTATATAACAAAGTATTGAGAAACTTTTGTTATTGACCAAATACTTATTTTCCACCATAATTTGCTAATAAATTCATAAAAAATCCTACAATGTGATTTTCTGGAAAAAAATTCTCATTTTGTCTGTCATAGTTGACATGTACCTATGATGAAAATTACAGGCCTCTCTCATCTTTTTAAGTGGGAGAACTTGCACAATTGGTGGCTGACTAAATACTTTTTTCCCCCACTGTAACGCTCAGCTTTGAAAGACCAATATAGTACATAAACTGTAAGCTAAGTTGTTACTCTTTGTTAGGGCTTAAATATGGATGTTAGCTCCACATCAGACAACATTTGAAGGTAATCTGTCCTCTTTCCTTTCCACAGCCACAGTCGGAGAGGAGCAGGAGCAGATTACCTATGATGCACAGTCAGGTGGGAAGGTTAGTTTGCAGACAGTGAGCTAGGGGCTACAGAAGGTCACGGTTAAAGGTTAAAATACTGTAATTAGTTTGAGACCTTTCCACTCCTTGCTGCATGGCGGTAACTTGGCTAAAAAGGAAAAGCATTCAACTGGTCATAACATCCTTTTTTCAAAGGCAAACATGATCTACTAATGGCAGCTCGTTAATACAAAACTATCAAGACCCTGCATCTGTCTTAATTGCTCCTCTCTTATCACTCCCACAAGTTAATCCATACATATTGTTTGTTTTATAGACTGTATATGCGTAGCATGAAGAAAGTCCCTTAACTGTACTACTCTGAAGCTACAGCATGAGCTGCATTTCCATGCAAACATGCATAGACGGCTTTCAATGTGCATGAATGATCCACACTCCACACACTACTTGGCATGAGTGATCATCGGCCAGTTGTCCTACCCTGTAATAGCTGTCCAGTTGACTCTGGGTTCCAAGGTGGAATCCCTATGACAATATAATAGTTTAAATGCATTTTAATTCCCAAACATGGCCTCAATGAGGCCCCAGTGAACAGATTTGTACAGCGTTAATCTTTCAGGTGTACTCCCACTTACACAATTCATCCAATAGTCTCAGTCCAAGATTTGGACTACAACAAAGGCTTCCGCAGAGGGACATTGTGGAGAGCAGGACTTACTTGGCAGCGTCTCGGAGATCGATCACGCTCCTCGTTTTACCTAAGCCGTCTTTGAAGACTGTCTTGTTGGCGACAGTTAGCGTCCCGTTCCTGGTGATGAAGTCAGGGAAGCACCGCTGGAGGACTGAAACACACAAACAAATATTTAATGCCTAAGAATCTGTCTTTTTACAATTTGTTTTTGTTTTTCCATGGTATGTAATAAGACATATTTCAATTTCATACACTGGCGATATGTATCATTTCCCTTTTCCAACCCCTCCCACAGAATCGAAGTCTTAGAATAGACGATCTGAAAGTCAAAATAACGATACTGGAGGAACTGTGTGCAGAACTTGGATTCACTTACAAGGTCTGCTTGGCACTATCATGGATGGGCAGTCCTCATCTCGCAAGACTTGTGCAACGGACTAAACAGAGAAAAGGGGAGAGGGAGAAGAAGTCAAACAATACACACTTAGTGACGTCAAAGCCTCAGAGTTTAGTTTTTATACCTCACTAGGTTAGGAAGACATCCTATCATCATATCCTATGACTTTGCCATTACCCAACAGGACCATGAGGAGAGTGGGCGTGTAGGGCTGAGATGACTAGGAACAGACGGACTGTCTGTCATACAGTACAGAACAGACTGGTAGGAAACCCTTTCTGATCTATCTGTCATTCCTCAGTTTAGCACTCTGCTCTGGGTACTGACTGAGTAGACAATGTGGGTGGGAGAACCAATGATTCAGCAGTAACAGTGTGATTGTGTGATTATGAGTTCCCACACACAATCTCTCACTCTCCCTCCCCCCTTTCTCTCTCTTTTTCTGTCTATCTGAGTCTCATCTGAGGTGTCATGCCAGCATGTCTGACGAACATGGACCAGTGTCACAGTCTGTGTCCCACAAACCAACTCGTCAGAGCTTGTGAGTGACATCAGCAGATGCTGCCTTCCTCACGCTTTTCTCTCAGAGGACTTTCAAATGACATTCTCATTATGTTTCCTTTACATAGTACATTACATAGGCCTAGTACTTACAAAGTATTATCATGGGATGTCTTGGTCGCTATTATTGAACACTATTATCTTATTTTAATTTCAAAAACAGAGAACATTCATTTAAAGGCCCAGTGTCGTCAAAAACATGATTTGGGCTGTTCCCGTCTAAAAAATATATTTGTCGACCGAAAGTTGTCTGTTCTTTCTACTAATTGATTGGTCAACATTTTTTGAACGTGTATTTTTCCATATATAGACACACTCTATGTGTTTCAATAAAATCAACTATATGTATTGAGCTTGTCTGACGCTTTAAGCACACTGTTTGATGAAATAAGACACAAATGACTCAAGAGGGAGCCAAATATCAAGAATAAAAAAACCTTAACCTAACCAGACCATTCTCCTCTCCCTCCTGCTGGCTTTCGCAGATTCTGCCGTTACTCTCCTGAAGTTTCCTGTAATAGGCTACACGAGGATTCTGCAACCATTTCTACCGATCTGCGTGCCAGTTATGGTTTTCATATGCACATTGTCGTGGAATTGTTTCATTTAATTTATAATAACGTCTTCGTTTCTCAAAATCATTGTCTAAATGAAAATGATACAAACCTAAAACATAACTTCTATTGCCATTGCCAACGATGTCACGCCTACTCCCGCTCTGGCGCTCGACGCCGCCGGTCTACTAACCACCGGTCCTGGCAACCCACATTACGCACACCTGGCAACCATCATTACACACACCTGCTCCCCATCGTTATGCACACCTGGACTTCATCATTATCTTTATTACTTCCCATTTATTTAGCCCTCAGTAGTGTCAGTCTTCAGTCTTCTTATTGGTTTTGTTTTCATGTCCAGAACGCTTCTCTTGTTTCGCATATCTTCATGTTCCTTGTTATTAAACTCTCCAACTGCACTTGCTTCCTGACTCCCTGCGTCTTCATTACAAACAATGTAAAAATAGCCTACATAAAGCCAACAAATAAAAACATTGCACCCTGCAGGTAGAAAATATCCGGATAAAAATAAATATCCTATCAATCACATTGGCTATGCATGCCTGTCTGCAATGCACTTGAAACATTGTATCAACTATAAACTTGGGTCAGGCCCAAAGCTTGTGCTAGCAAACTTGCAACATTGTATAAAAAATTCTGGGCCCTTATTGTTTCCTGCACCAGTGAGCTCGGGACAGACACAGCTGTAGGCTATTTGCGAAAGGGATAAGAGGTCACCAACATGATATTTTTCCCTTTCATGCTGAGTGGTTATTGAAAGGGAGAGAGCTGGAGAGATCTTTCAAATACATTTGGGAACTATTGTCATTCTCAATGGATGTAAAAACAGACTTTGTTTGCTTGCTGTTTGGGGTGAAGAAAACATTACTTTGAGAAGCTCCACAGCTCATTAGTGGTGGTGCGTTAAGCCAATCATAAATACTATCAGATCCCCAAATGGGCACATTTATATGCCTTCATTTGCGTGCAGGCCAGGTAGCCTATAGGCCTACTTCTATGCGTAATCAGGTGCGCGTCCTTACTCAACATTGACATTAGCACTCCAAACAAAATACAATGATTAAATTGACAAAACTCGTCAATGGAATGAAATAAACCAAAACTTTTTTCTCACAAGCATAGGTTGTGCGCTCTGAAAACAATGTGTCCACTCCGAAAACAAGAACGGTAAAAGACTGGAATAATAATATATTGAATGCATTAACAGAAATTACCATAACCTAACAAACATGGAGTCCCCTGTAGCTCAGTTGGTAGAGCATGGTGCTTGCAACGCCAGGGTTGTGGGTTCGTTTCCCACGAGGGGCCAGTATGAAAATGTATGCACTCACTAACTGTAAGTCGCTCTGGATAAGAGCGTCTGCTAAATGACTAAAATGTAAATGATAGATTAGAAATTATAGGAATTAACAGTAAATGTACTACTGGTGATACAGCACCAGTCAAACGTTTGGACAAACCTACTCATTCAAGGGTTTATTTTTACTATTTTCTAAATTGTAGAATAATAGTGAAGACATCAAACCTATGAAATAACACCTATGGAATCATGTAGTAACCAAAGTGTTAAACAAATCAAAATATGGACGTGTGCAAAGCTGTCATCAAGGCAAAGGGTGTCTATTTGAAGAATCTCAAATATAAAATATATTTTGATTTGTTTAACACTTTTTTGGTTACTACATGATTTCATATGTGTTATTTCATAGCTTTGATGTCTTCACTATTATTCTACAATGTAAAAAATAGTAAAAAATAAAGAAAAATGCTGGAATGAGTAGGTGTGTCAAAACTTTTGACTGGTACTGTATATGTAATGGGGAATTGATAGACACTAACAATCAAACGCAAACAATTCGCACAATGAAGTAATGAAAGAAACAATAAATGTGCACAAATTGGCGGGAGAGCGCGCATTCTGGAGAGAGACATTGTGAATTTTAGCCACACTCCCCTTCTTCTTGGACTGTGCCATCCCTGCGGCCTTCGCAATGGATTAGTCTCGGCCTCCACAATGGATTAGTTCACTGAGATGGGCGTGAATCAGACAGGTGTCTCGAGTGCCATAAAAAAATATATATATATATATATTTGCTACTGCTCTACAAAAACAAATCTTGGTCGACCAACAGCCTATCGACCAAACAATCAACCAGTCAACTAATTGGGGTCAGCCCTAATTTCCACACCATGAGGTTTGAATAATACTGTGGAATTGTGTAAGCCCTGTTTGAAAAGACTGCCTGAAATGTCAGCCTGTTTTGGTGGGATGGGGTTTTGGCCTGTCTGGTGACATCACCAGGCGGTAAATTAGTTAAATAGACAAATAAGAAAGAGAATTCCAAACCTCTCTGCCAATAACAGCTAGTTTTCAGTTTCCCCCTCCCCACTCAGACCACTTCCAGACAGTCCTAGCAAAATTATTGCTTGCTCTTTGCTAAGAAGCTATTTTTGTTTCTTTTTCACAATTTTAACTTAAAACAAACAGTAATGTACTTAAATGCTCCATAGAAAATATTTTATATTGAGATAAAAACTGCTGCAGTGGACCGGAGTACTCCACTGACTTATAGATGGATAACCATTACAGAAGATATCTGTTTCAGAACGCTCAAGGACTTGATAAGTGAGACCATAAGTGACTGGAGGCATCAGTCTCGGTACCTTTCTAGGATTGTCGAAGCCCGGCTTGCAGAACTGCCTGTAATACTCCCAGTAGCTCTTGTTGTACCTGTAGTTGTATTGCATGTCTAGGTATGTGGCAAATCTGTCCGGGCACTTGGAGACACAGAGCTGGGAAGAGAAGAGAAAGGGACAGCCAAATATTAATCAACGCTTAACGACAGAGAACAAGCGAGAAAAACCAGCGGGAACATAATAGCATAATGTCTGCAGCGTTAAGAGGCAGCTCTTACCTGGGTTGTAGGGCACTGGAGGTTAATTAGAACGGCAGGATTGGCACATTGCAATATGTTGAAGTAGAATAATATGGCTTTGTTGCTGTAACCACAGCGACATGGAGAGAATAGTCATTAGTTTCCCAACACAAAGACAGCTTTATTAGAGATCGCTGAGAACAAACGTTGTATTGAAAATCTAACAGGAGATTGAGCTGTCTGTCAAACAGTGTATAAAAACACAGGGAGCAGGAAAGTCCATGATGGTGGTTAATGCTACTTTATAAAGCGCTTTTCATTCATGGTGCGCAAAGCACTCAATATAGAAAATATTACAGACTAATACAACTAGCAGGCAGCCAATGTGATGTAGGAAAACCTTTGTAAACTATATTCAGATTATATTGACAAAGAATTTGTATAAGGATCAGCCTATGGTTGTCATAACAGGACGCATAACTGCAACGTGTTTCGATTAGAGTCTTCTTCAGGCAACGCTGCTCCTTATTTGTATTTTTGTAAATATAACCTGTATATAGTTCACCTGTATACAGTTTTCCTGCGTCATACTGGCCACCAACTCATTTTCTTTCCTGGATTACCTGCCATTTAGGGGCCTAACTTCCACTGTCCTCATCTCACTTAGACTAATACAACTGACATGCTGAGGCCGGATATTAATCATAGGGAAAAGCAGTTTCTCTGCATTATGATTTCTCTCAGATTGTTCATGCCGTATTGCAGGTGTCAAACGTGTTAAAGCCGACACACCTCCCAAGCTGTTTTCTATCTCTTCCAAGTGCACTAAAAGATTGACATCTTGCAGAATTTCTTTGAGGATATTGATGTGAAGCCTCATCTGTCCGAAGTGCAATGTGAATGCTGGCCATTTAGTACTATACTTATTCGATACAATAAATGTTTCTCCAAACACAGGTAGAGGTCTTTCTTTATACTCACGCGTTGGGGGTCCCCTGCTGTCCACAGAACTGTCCGTGGCTGTCAGTGGGGTAGACCACCTTCCTGGGGTCACCATGGATCCAGGCTGCAACCAGACAAACGGCCGCATCATTAGCCTCCTTCCCTGCCCCTTCAACTGTCAATCCTCTGGGCATTTATGAGTCAGTGACAGGACCTCCCTGGCTGTGTGTACAGTTGAAGTCGGAAGTTTACATACACTTAGGTTGGAGTCATTAAAACTCGTTTTTCAACCACTCCACAAATTTCTTGTTAACAAACTATAGTTTTGGCAAGTCGGTTGGGCCATCTAATTTGTGCATGACACAAGTAATTTTTCCAACAATTGTTTACAGACAGATTATTTCACTTATAATTCACTATCTCACAATTCCAGTGGGTCAGAAGTTTACATACACTAAGTTGACTGTGCCTTTAAACAGCTTGGAAAATTCCAGAAAATGATGTCATGGCTTTAGAAGCTTCTGATAGGCTAATTGACATCATTTGAGTCAATTGGAGGTGTACCTGTGGATGTATTTCAAGGTCTACCTTCAAACACAGTGCCCTCTTTGCTTGACATCATGGGAAAATCAAAAGAAATCAGCCAAGACCTCAGAAAAAAAATGGTAGACCTCCATAAGTCTGGTTCATCCTTGGGAGCAATTACCAAACGCCTGAAGGTACCACGTTCATCTGTACAAACAATAGTATGCAAGTATAAACACCATGGGACCACGCAGCCGTCATACAGCTCAGGAAGGAGACGCGTTCTGTCTCATAGAAATGAACGTACTTTGGTGCGAAAAGTGCAAATCAATCCCAGAACAACAGCAAAGGACCTTGTGAAGATGCTGGAGGAAACAGGTACAAAAGTATCTATATCCACAGTAAAACGAGTCCTATATCGACATAACCTGAAAGGCCGCTCAGCAAGGAAGAAGCCACTGCTCCAAAACCGCCATAAAAAAGCCAGACTACGGTTTGAAACTGCACATGGGGACAAAGATCGTACTTCTTGGAGAAATGTCCTCTGGTCTGATGAAACAAAAATAGAACTGTTTGGCCATAATGACCATCGTTATGTTTGGAGGAAAACATCTTGCAAGCCGAAGAACACCATCCCAACCGTGAAGCACGGGGTGGCAGCATCATGCTGTGGGGGTGCTTTGCTGCAGGAGGGACTGGTGCACTTCACAAAATAGATGGCATCATGAGGAAGGAAAATGATGTGGATATATTGAAGCAGCATCTCAAGACATCAGTCAGGAAGTTAAAGCTTGGTCGTAAATGGGTCTTCCAAATGGACAATGACCCCAAGCATACTTCCAAAGTTGTGGCAAAATGGCTTAAGGACAACAAAGTCAAGGTATTGGAGTGGCCATCACAAAGCCCTGACCTCAGTCCTATAGAACATTTGTGGGAAGAACTGAAAAAGCGTGTGTGAGCAAGGAGGCCTACAAACCTTACTCAGTTACACCAGCTCTGTCAGGAGGAATGGGCCAAAATTCACCCAACTTATTGTGGGAAGCTTGTGGAAGGCTACCCGAAACGTGTGACCCAAATTAAACAATTTAAAGGCAATGCTACCAAATACTAATTGAGTGTATGTAAACTTCTGACCCACTGGGAATGTGATGAAAGAAATAAAAGCTGAAATAAATCACTCTCCACCATTATTCTGACATTTTACATTCTTAAAATAAAGTGGTGATCCTAACTGACCTAAGACAGGGAATTTTTACTAGGGTTAAATGTCAGGAATTGTGAAAAACTGAGTGTAAATGTATTTGGCTAAGGTGTATGTAAACTTCCGACTTCAACTGTATATGGGAATATTCTGCCCACCTGTAACACACACTACCATAATCACTTCAGAGTAAAAAAGCAGGTCAAACGGGATCAAAGGTAGACTTCTATTATGAATTACAATCAGAAAAGCCAGACATGAAAAGATTAGTGTGTCAAGGTGAGAGCTGGCTGTTCAGCAATTATAGGACAACCTGAAAACCCTGCGAGACTATACTTACAGAATACAGAGGTACCAATTCGGTGCCTATTGAGAAGAGTAACTTGGTTAAAAAAAAAGTTTGATTTCAACTCATTTTAACATTCTGTCATAAAGAGCACATGTTTAACTTAATTTAAAAAAACACGGTTTCCCATCTCACGAGGTTAAATTTAAAAATGACTTTAGTAAGTACCTGTTAAGTGCCATATAAAGTAACAGGGTTGACCGTAACAGGTTTGACGATTTCATCTTAAATCAGCCAAAAATCCCCTTGTGACAGGGAGCTGCAATTGAATGCAAGCGTGACAAAATAAATATAATTGTAAAAATATTATTACCGTATGGGTTACAGGGTTGACGTATTATGGTCAGTTTTCCATCACAAAACACCAGAAAATGGCCAAAAGGGGTCAAACCAGCTCACCTGCTTTTACACTATGATTCAATGTTTCTTTTGAAAATAATATTTAAAAACGAATAGTTTACTCATATTAAATCGAGAGTTCTGTTTACGTAACAGGGTTGACCTTAAAATGAGGGACAGATGTAAATTAATCACTAATCACATTAAATAAATAATAATATTCAGAAATGACTTTGTCAAAGCAACAAAATAACTAGGGCATAACAATAATGGTGAAAACTTGTTGAAATGTTGGGATTAAGTGGGTTAAAATCTCACTAGAAGTCACAGAAGGTGCATGGCGGGACATGTAAAAATGCTGAAATGTGGCACTTCAGCAAGTCTTTATTCATATTAAAAATCTGATTTATTGAATTCTCCTCGAGGTCTATATTAAAGGGCACTTCATTTAATATAAAATTCTATATTGGTGCACAATTTCTACTTTAAATATCAAAGGGATGCAAAAAGCACACTTTTCGTGGAATGATGCCACCAACAAAACCAAGGCCAAGGTAATCCAATTATTCCAATACTCTTTCAACACCAGTCTGTATCTTTTGAGACTACTCTGAACTTCAATCCATGCTGCAAATGTGTTTTTCTAACCTTTTCAAGACATCAACAAAAAATAATTACTTTAGAGGACAAAGCATTCTATTCTATTCACAGACTGTTAGTCTTCCTAGCCAACAGCACTGTACCTGCCTCACACAATAGTCATGATAAAACAGAAAGTTTATGCATGAGGAAGACCACGGGTGAGGAGAAAGAATGAAAAGCTGTTCACGTAATTGCGAACATACCAGTATCTATTTGAAGTCACCTCATTTTCATGGCTCTGGCTCTTTTAAAGTAATTGCGCAACAGACGGGAGTCAGAGGGACTGCACTTTGAGAAAAGACATCACCGTTGATTTCATTTGACTAACTGGGAGGGGGAGGGGTGTCTGTGTGTTTGGTTTTACTATCTTTCTGGTCCTCACAAGGATAGTAAAACAAGGAAAATTCGGATAAGTGGGGACATTTTGCCGGTCCCCACAAGGAAAAAGGCTATTTTAGGCTTAGGGGTTAGGTTTAAGGTTAGAATAAGGGTTAGGGGTTAGGTTTAGGAGTTAGGGTTAGGTTAAGGATTAGGGAACATAGGATTTGGTTTGGTCCCCACAAGAATAGTAAAACAAATGTGTGTGTGTGTGTGTGTGTGTGTGTGTGTGTGTGTGTGTTTAAGCATGCATGTCTGTGTCTGTACAGATTGAGGTGTGTGTGTGAGGAGATTCACATTATTGATTCCAATCTACTGAGAGGAACACACTGTAGTAAGGCTGTGTTTACATCGCCACGCACAACTACTCTAACTAAGTCCCTTAAAAGGAATGGAGGTCACAGAATGTCACCCATATCTCTGGAGAACATGGTCAAACCCCCAATCAAGAGATTAGATGCACAGATTAGGGAAATGCCATCCAGTAACCTCAGTCAGAAACAGAAACTGACTCACATAAAATCATTAGACTGATGTTGCTGACTCCCACTCATTAAGGAATGGGTCTGTCTCTGGGGAAATTCAAGCACTCATTTTTCAACCTCCCACACACTTCACACAATCAGAGGCTCTGTTGCTTAATGCAAAATGGGATCCAATACAAAACTTTATCTAGCATTTATATGGCAATGCAGTCGGTGGAATGCAGTTTGAATCCTCGAGCCGGCAAGGTGGAAAAAATCTGCTGTTCTGCCCTTGAGCAAGACAGTTAACCCTCAACAACAACTGCTCCCTGGGCGCCGATGACGTGGACATCGATTAAGGCAGCCCCCCGCACCTCTCTGATTCAGAAGGGGTTGGGTTAAATGCGGAAGACACATTTCGGTTGAATGCATTCATTTGTGCAACTGACTAGGTATCCCCCTTTCCCTTTCCCTTCCCCACCCAAAGACTTTGTCAAGATGAGAGCTAGGCATGCAGAAACTCATGAACACAGACGAACGCACACACTCTACATTTACATGGGACTTGGCCTCACACAACGTGGAGCACCATCATAGGGTGGGCTGTGGTGTTATGAAACCTGGTCTGATGAAATAAGCAGCAACATGACAACTCACCCACGGTGCCCAGAGCGATGTAGCCGAGGATGACGATGACGAAGATAACACAGCACACCACGTCCGTGCAGCCCCTGGAGAGAAGACAGAGAAAGAGAGGGACAGAAGGAGAGAGAGAGAGAGTGTCGATTAGATGAGTCTAGTACCCAGGGCTCTGCCCTTGCCATGGCATCCCTGACAGTGGGCTTGTATTTGAGCTCCTAAGCTGGGTGCAGCATTTGCCACCTGACAAGACCAGGTGGCATCTCAAGACTCAAGGCTCTGAGAAAAACATTCCGAGCTCCACTGAATTTGTAATGAGACATGCTCAAACCCCCAGAGTTTATGCTCTCCACAGAGACCCCTCCAACAGAGGTTTTGAAGGTTGGACTGCACAATATTATGAGAGGGGAGGATGTCTCTCTCACAGCTGGGGTTTCTCCTCCTGTCATCAGATAAGAAGTCTTCCCCAGTCTCTCACCCTTCTCACACCCCAGAGGAGCTGTCAGCCTTGCCCCTCATTGGCCCCGTCTTCAAAAACCCACCCCAACTTCAACCCTGTGGTGTCCCCTTAGACAGAGCAAGTACAATCCAAGTCTGAACTTTACCATACAGAGCATGCACTGTGAAGGCTATCATAAGGAACTACACACCCAAATGTAAGACCTTCAAGCCCTCATGCTTTACACTCTCCTCTTTCATCCCCAAGAAGAAAGCCTGTGTCGAGTGGAGGCCGGAGCCTGCGGGCGTTTTAAAGCAGTTCTGCTGTGGTGCTCCTTTGAGGTAGCTGCTTGTCCTTGTTTTGTATGCAGCGTGGTGCCACCATAGACTCCACGAGCAGCACATACGCACATAGCTTTTGAGCCTCCGAACACCATTTTGTGATTAAATAGCAGATGGTCCTGCGGAGCTCGGGCCACTGATGCACAAAGAATATCAATTTCATCACAATGGATATTAAAAAGGATAAACTACTTAGATAGAGACATACACAGAAACAAATATGCTGTATACACATACAAACACACATGCAAAAACATTTAGGTTACTAAGTCTGGCTCTTAAACTGATTTAGACTGAGGCAGTTGCACAGTTCAATCTTTGCATCGCAAATTATCCAGGAATGTTTTGCAAGTGCTGTTGCAACTAAGCAGAATGATCATAGCCCTACATAAATACTGTAGGTAATTGCAACTGCATTTGCATTCCATGCTAATGTGTTGTTATGTGAAAGTGGGGCTTGTTGAGTTTAACATTAGTGAAGACTGAGATTCCTTCCCAATTAAATGGCTTAGATCCAGCACTACAGTACCTATAATAAACGTATTTCTCACTGCTGAATTAAATGGGCCTATTATTACCAATCTCATCTGAATTACATGGGCTCGATTGCGCCAAACAGTCAGGTTAACGCTGGATTTCTTAAAACGCTACTAAAGGGAGATTACATGCACCTGCGGGCTAAACTAAGCTTAAAAAAAAAAAACTGGCAGACCAGCAGATCTGAAGCTTTTACGGTGCTAAGCCGGCTTGATACTAGACAGTGGAAATGGCATGGGGAATGGACATCGTCTGCGTTCACTACCCCCACCCCAATGAAATAACAGTTTATCAGGAACAACGAAATCGAAATACGAAAAAGATAAATGGAAGAATGACATACACTACATTACCAAAAGTATGAGAACATCTCATTCCAAAATCATGGGCATTAATATAGAGTTGGTCCCCCTTTGCTGCTATAACAGCCTCCACTCTTCTGGGAAGGCTTTCCACTAAATATTGGAACATTGCTGCGGGCTCTTGCTTCCATTCAGCCACAAGAGCATTAATGAGGTCAGGCACTGATGTTGGGCAATTAGGCCTGGCTCACAGTCAGTGTTGCAATTCATCCCAAAGGTGTTTGATGGGGTTGAGGTCAGGGCTCTGTGCAGTCCAGCCAAGTTCTTCCACACCGATCTCGACAAACCATATCTGAATGGACCTCGCTTTGTGCACAGGGGCATTGTCATGCTGAAACAGGAAAGGGCCTTCCCCAAACTGTAGCCATAAAGTTGGAAGTGCAGAATCGTCTAGAATGTAATTGTATACTGTAGCGTTAAGATTTCCCTTCACTGGAACTAAGGGGCCTAGCCGAACCATGAAAAACAGCCCCAGACCATTATTCCTCCTTCACCAAACATTACAGTTGGCACTATGCATTCGGGCAGGTAGCGTTCTCCTGGCATCCGCCAAACCCAGATTCGTCCATTGGACTGCCAGATGGTGACGCGTGATTCATCACTCCAGAGAACGCTCCACTGCTCCAGAGTCCAATGACAGCGAACTTTACACCAGTCCAGCTGACGCTTGGCATTGTGCATGGTGATCTTAGGCTTGTGTGCGGCTGCTCGGCCATGGAAACCCATTTCATGAAGCTCCCAACGATCAGTTCTTGTGCTGACGTTGCTTCCAGAGGCAGTTTGGAGTGAGTGATTTTTACGCTCTTCAGCACTCGGCGGTCCCGTTCTGTGAGCTTGTGTGGCCTACCACTTTGAGGCTGAGCCATTGTTGCTTCTAGACGTTTCCACTTCACAATAACAGCACTTACAGTTGGCCCGGGATAGCTCTAGCAGGGCAGAAATTTGATGAACTGACTTGTTGGAAAGGTAGCATCCTATGACGGTGCCACGTTGAAAGTCACTGAGCTCTTCAGTGAGGCCATTCTACTGCCAATGTTTGTCTATGGAGATTGCTCAATTTTATACACCTGTCAGCAACGGGTGTGACAAATAGCCGAATCCACTAAATAGTTGAATTCACATACTATTGTATATATAGTGTATTACAACTGAAATAAAATTATTTAGTTAACATGTTTAATTGCAGACAATTACTAGCCAAATTATGTCTACATCAAGGCTCCTCTTCTGCGAAAATAAAGTTATTGAAGACCTACTTTTAATGAATTACCACATTGTAAATTGAAGTGATATGGAATGCAACAACATTGATAGACAATTAAAATGTAATTATAAAACAAAGCACTTTGCATCGGTTTCTTTGGTTAAGATAATGATTTCCAAATAATAAGAAATTACTCTCCCTACCACATTTCTTTCCAATTCAGAAATCCACGTTACGGAGTGGTAAATCGGTGACGGATGATGGTGGCAATTGAAATCAGCTGTGCGGGTGATTTTAGAGCGTAATGATGGTTTAACGAGAGATCATTGGCGATAATCTAGTGGCCATCAGTGGTTGCAATTCTCCCATTAAGTCTGGAGACCTGATACTTAATTGTGAATGTCCAATTTGAGATATCTCTCCAAATTACATTGCCCATAAATCCCATCCTGCTAATAGCTGACCCATTGACCATCTGTTCTGATCTGCATTCTCCTGTAAAAGACACCATTACCCACAAAAATCCTGACCGTAAATCATATTTGATGGCATAGACTCAAGGAATGACACAAGTCTATAACATGGAACTGAGGCTTTAAAGGCTAAGCCATATTTCACAAACAAACCCAGTCCGAGGGAGCCGAGGAAGAAAATGGCTCCATCATCACACCGACAACATTCCTGTAAGAGACAGTGTGATAGTGGAACTGCGGTGACCAAGGCACTGCCGGCTCTAATATTAAACACGGTATTAAAGAGACAGATGAGGGACTACTTTTTCATTTCATTCAAAAGACAAGGAACAAGAGCTGTCGAGGTTGCCTTGGTGAGGACTGAATTTCTCAGCGTCCATTAGGAGTTGAGTCAGGTAGTGTAGTGGACCAGCAGTCAGCTAGGAATCATGGGTGATTATTCGATGAGATCCAGGGGGTGGGACCCCGAAGCAGACCTTATGTCACCTCTTCACTGCCTTACCGTGAGGTGCTTCTCCATTGTCTTCTACCCAACCCCCCAGGGCCTAGCATACCCATAACATGATGCTGCCACCACCATGCTTGAAAATATGAAGAGTGGTACTCAGCAGAGTATGTGAGCGGAGTTGAGCGGTCGGAAATCCTGCTCATCGCTCATGGAGTGGTGCTTCCCGGCTCTCCATGTCCTTTCCAACCGCTCCGCAAAAAAACGCTCCTCGCACAGGAAAAAAAACTCCAAATTCACTCCATTCATTAAAATCATGATATGTTGAAAATGTAGTCTATTTCAGAAGAAAATAATAGCATACTCTGAGTTGTCCTTGTGTTAGGTCCTGATGTGGCTATGCCAAATGGCTGTGGGCTACACTAGTTCATGTAGCAGAGTTGCTTATAATTCCGTGGCATTATTTTATATTATTTTATAGTAAGAAGAAAACAATTGAACAAAGTTTTAAAAATATAAATATTTTCTCCAACCACTTTGAGGGAGCGCGCACATGCGGCTATTCTGTGTTGAGCGGTTAACAAAGAAATAGGTACTCCTATATGCTTAATTTAGACTTATTAATGTAACTTTAGTTGTTCTACAAACGTTGGGCTATATGTTTTGATTTTTAATACATTGTAAGGCTGCATGATGAGACTAATGATTTGAAAAAAGTTGCTTGAAAAGGCATGAGCTCTGCTTTGTTTTTTGCGCAGGCTGTACACACTCCAATACTCTCTCATTCACAATTTGACAAGCACTTGATAATGCCTAGAATTTCACAGCGCCATCCCCTTTGTGGCCGTAATGCACCCTAAAGAAATCCATGCCTTTTGCGGCCCAGAGTGATGTGTTGTGCCCTTCTCCCTGAATGTGCTGCGCAATCCGAAGCTTCTCTCACTCACACTGCTCTCTGTCACGTGATCGGGTCTTTCTCACAGGCTACAAGTTAAGACAGACACATTGGGGACGCAACTGCGCGCATCCTTATCCAATTCTGAGGTGCATATTGAAGATATTGGAAGAACTGTCCACATTTACTTTTCGTCAGCCAACAAGATGAGTAGGCCTAACGAACAGCAAAAGCACTAACCTATGTCAATCTACTATCCCCCATAGTACAAAAGTCAACCTATTCTATTCTGTGTGAGAAGTAAATATTCCAAACATAGTCTGGGACAGTTGTGGGATGCGATAGATCCCAAATTAATACAACCACTAGCATCAAAAAAAATGTTTTATGCAATGTGGCTGACGCAATAGATCAGAATGTTTAGCTTAAAATGTTGATCAACTATTAGGCTATTTCTTCACATTATAAGCGCGACTGTTACATTAGCGGAAAACACCATTATCAAAAGTGACCGCAAATGCAATTATGCATGTAATGCTTTTATTATAAAGGTGCATTTATATGGTGAAAATTATCTTCCCCAAACTTGAAACTCACGCGCTGCTTATATATGCCAGTTAGGCGCTACACCCCTTGTAAAGTGGATTAATGTGCTTAATTTTAAGAAGTTATTTGGCCACTTTAGTTGTGATATAAACCTTATTAAAACATATAGGCCTATGGGCTAGGCTACATGAGGTGTGCGACTATAATTCGAACAAGTCGCAGAAAAAAGGCATTGTTTCTTATGCTGGGCATCATTCACAAGTGATACAAATGTGGTCCTCTGTAGCTCAATTGGTAGAGCACGGCGCTTGTAACGCCAGGGTAGTGGGTTCAATCCCCGGGACCACCCATACGTAAAAATTTATGCACACATGACTGTAAGTCGCTTTGGATAAAAGCGTCTGCTAAATGGCATATTATTATTATTATTATTATATATAATTCACAAGTGATAGGATAATATTGTCACCCATCAGACTATTCTTGATTTAATATTGTTTTTACATATACTAAATAATATATGTGTGACATTTGTTTTGATTAAGAATGGACCATTATCATGCACCTGTATCGAAACAGGGGCAGCGGGAAAAAATATATGTAATCTATGCACTTAAATAGCGAATGGAGGATGCTTTTCCCTGTGGTTTATTTTCATGCTAGCCAGGTAGGCTATACTCCTGTTGTAAATATAAGCAATGTGCTTAATATTAGGAAAGTTGAGAAATAAATATAGTAGGCCTAGCCTATAGAAAGCTGATGGGATCCTCCTCTTTATATTAGTGGCCATCACTCTGTTTTCTCCCACAATTGCATAGCGTATAGAAATGTTGTGCAACATGAGCTCATGGGCTCTCATGAAGTGTTCGATTTGATTTTCAAATACATTTGCATTGTTGTCAGAGTGTTAGAGGGACAATAGAGTGCTGAGTACCAGGCAGTTAGTACGTTTGGTAGGCTACTAATGACCATCAGCAGCATCAGAGCTTGGAGAAGCCTAATTACAGTGACTAAACGGTCATGTGGAATTTGACTGCCTTCATGACTCGTGACTGCCAGTGTGGCTGTAATACGGTCACTGCAACAGCCCTAGCCATGGCTGTGGTTGTGATGACCGGTCAACGCTGCCACAGAATAGCGTGGGTGCAATTCTGGTGTGCTACCACCGGTTGCCTGTCTCCATCACATCATGAGAATTAACAGGGAGAGAGTTTGGGAGAGAGGGGGAGAGATAATGGATTCCCACACGCTGGAACACACCGGGAAGTTTCTCACGGTCTGGAGAGACAACAGGGATAGCAGTGGAAGGCAGGAGGGTTTTGAATGTTTTTCAACTTCCCTGCAGAAGTCTCAAGGACAGATTTACAGTCCATGTATGTATGTTGTCTAGTTAAATAAAGGTTCAATAAAAAAATGAAATAGAAAATGTGCCTTGACTAAAAGGTGTGCAGTCCACTATTCAGGCCGGGGCGATACCAGTATCGGGATATTTCTTCCAAGGCAAAAATGAAATAAATGTGACTCTGGATGACATCATAATGATGTTGGTTTCCAACATTAGGGCTGTTTTCCTAAATAATTTAAATCCGCTTCGTGTTTTGTTTCCTTGCCACGATACTAATGAGTATCCCGATACTGGTATCGTCCCGGCCCTAGTCAATGGTATTATTCAATTCATACATTATTCAGATGTACTTTATGGATTTATTCATCCCTCGTACCGCAGCATAATGGAAGCCGGAATTAGTCAGAGAGCTACAATACATCTCCATTTTCTCTACTGTTCAATAACCACAGATACAGACTTAATTTAGGCGGTGAGCTTCTGAGAAAAAAGACAACCGGAGGAGAGTCAGTTCTCTCCCAGTTCTCATTTAAAACGCCTCTAAGCCAGATAAACATCAAAGTGCCTTCACTTAGACCACAGCTGTAGGAGGAAAACGAGCTGGAGATAAAGGTTTGGGGAACATGCTTTCCCACCAGTGTATGAAGCTGGTCTTGAGTATATCTGTTCTACAGTATGAAGTAATGATACGCTCCAGTGCAGAAATTAGGGGTCTAAAGAGTATAACCACGAAGTTGAAAGGCTATAAGACATAAACAGCTGCATCCTAAATTGGTTATTGAGCAATCTTGTTTACTATGTCGTCTTATGGGATGGCGGACTCAAGTGAGAGCCAATGACATCCAAACAAATGTAAACAAGACATAGCAACAGGACATTGGTATATGTGCTAGATAAGGCCAGGCTTTCAAATAAAAAGGATGCAGCCAGGTTATACGTGAATGGTATATGTGGAAATAAGTACAGAGGGGAAAAAAAGTATTTAGTCAGCCACCAATTGTGCAAGTTCTCCCACTTAAAAAGTGTAATTTTCATCATAGGTACACGTCAACTATGACAGACAAAATGAGAAAAATAAATCCAGAAAATCACATTGTAGGTTTTTTAATGAATTTATTTGCAAATTATGGTGGAAAATAAGTATTTGGTCAATAACAAAAGTTTCTCAATACTTTGTTATATACCCTTTGTTGGCAATGACACAGGTCAAACGTTTTCTGTAAGTCTTCACAAGGTTTTCACACACTGTTGCTGGTATTTTGGCCCATTCCTCCATGCAGATCTCCTCTAGAGCAGTGATGTTTTGGGGCTGTCGCTGGGCAACACGGACTTTCAACTCCCTCCAAAGAGTTTCTATGGGGTTGAGATCTGGAGACTGGCTAGGCCACTCCAGGACCTTGAAATGCTTCTTACGAAGCCACTCCTTCGTTGCCCGGGCGGTGTTTGGGATCATTGTCATGCTGAAAGACCCAGCCACGTTTCATCTTCAATGCCCTTGCTGATGGAAGGAGGTTTTCACTCAAAATCTCACGATACATGGCCCCATTCATTCTTTCCTTTACACGGATCAGTCGTCCTGGTCTCTTTGCAGAAAAACAGCCCCAAAGCATGATGTTTCCACCCCCATGCTTCACAGTAGGTATGGTGTTCTTTGGATGCAACTCAGCATTCTTTGTCCTCCAAACACGACGAGTTGAGTTTTTACCAAAAAGTTCTATTTTGGTTCCATCTGACCATATGACATTCTCCCAATCCTCTTCTGGATCATCCAAATGCACTCTAGCAAACTTCAGACGGGCCTGGACATGTCTGGCACTGCAGGATTTGAGTCCCTGGCGGTGTAGTGTGTTACTGATGGTAGGCTTTGTTACTTTGGTCCCAGCTCTCTGCAGGTCATTCACTAGGTCCCCCCGTGTGGTTCTGGGATTTTTGCTCACCGTTCTTGTGATCATTTTGACCCCACGGGGTGAGATCTTGCGTGGAGCCCCAAATCGAGGGAGATTATCAGTGGTCTTGTATGTCTTCCATTTCCTAATAATTGCTCCCACAGTTGATTTCTTTAAACCAAGCTGCTTACCTATTGCAGATTCAGTCTTCCCAGCCTGGTGCAGGTCTACAATTTTGTTTCTGGTGTCCTTTGACAGCTCTTTGGTCTTGGCCATAGTGGAGTTTGGAGTGTGACTGTTTGAGGTTGTGGACAGGTGTCTTTTATACTGATAACAAGTTCAAACAGGTGCCATTAATACAGGTAACGAGTGGAGGACAGAGGAGCCTCTTAAATAAGAAGTTACAGGTCTGTGAGAGCCAGAAATCTTGCTTGTTTGTAGGTGACCAAATACTTATTTTCCACCATAATTTGCAAATAAATCCATTAAAAATCCTACAATGTGATTTTCTGGAGAAAAAAAATCTCAATTTGTCTGTCATAGTTGACGTGTACCTATGATGAAAATTACAGGCCTCTCTCATCTTTTTAAGTGGGAGAACTTGCACAATTGGTGGCTGACTAAATACTTTTTTTCCCCCACTGTACTTATATTGCAGTTAATTGGCTGGCTGATTCCCTGTGATATGTGAGTTTGTGTTACTCCGGTCTCCCAGGCTGGTTAATAATGTGTGTCATTGGGCTAACGCCAGCCCATCGTGTGACTAATAGCCATTGATCTGTGTGATGTAGCGAAGACAGCTGCCAGCACTCAGCCTCTCTCTCTATTAATACTGACAAATGATCAATCCGTCAACACATAGAGTGACGTGCAAAAAAGCTTATGAAACAGTAAGGTCAATATTTTCATAGGGGGAAAAAATAATAATCTAAGATTCTGATTAGGTGTGTAGTGGTTTTGATAGTATGCACAATTAAATTATATGGCAGATTGAGAAGATGACTATAGGCCTATCTTTGGGGCAAATCAAAAAGAGAAAGAAAAAAAAAACTTTGGGGAATAATAATCTAGACCTAACTATCAATAGGCTGTTGAATGTCCATCATGCAGCCAATTACACATTTATTACTGTGCATGTCTCTATTGCTTCATCAGCTGAAACAGTCAAAAGAAACAAGGGAAGTTGGAGGAGACCAGAAGGTACAGTACCTGTTATGGATAGGACCTCTGAAGCTCGGGTCAAACTTGCGTGGCTCACCTGTAAGGGAAGCAGATCATTACATGGTTAGCCTCACCAAAAACTATTTTAAAGTTCTAACATGCAAAACAACTGTGCCTTGGTGAACTACTAGGCTTAGAAACAGGAACATCCATAGTTCATCTCCAATAACCAGACAAGTGACATCATGTATGAGAGCAAATTATACGTTTTTGTATGTAGACTTAAACTATAGAGCAGAAATAAACTGCCCTCGAGCAACATACAGTAACTCCACATGGCATTACTGAGGGGAATGCTCATGGTGATCAATGAGACAGCAAAACAACAACACATGTACCATTAGTCATAACATTGTGTCTGGCCCTGTCCTGCAATAAACATAACATGCAACTGCCTGGGAGGGCACTAACTAGGTCAGTTCACAGCTCCTCTCTGTGTCTGTGTCCAAAATAGCACCCTATTCCCTATATAGTGCACCATTTTATACCAGGACTGTCAGGCGTGCGGTAGGTGTAATGGTGGAATCAAACGCAGGACTCAGAACGATATTCCCAAAGGCTTGTATTATAGGCCAAACCAAGGCAAAATGGAAACTTTGCCCGGAGGCAACAAAATTACGCACGAAGGCGAAAAGAAACTGCGCACAAACAGGTGCGACAAAATAGTAACCGCGCACAAACAGGTGCGACAAAATAGTACCACGCACAAACAGGTGCGGAAATACTCCAGTAATAATGGAGAGAAGCTCAACCGAGCAATACACACAACTGACGGAAAATCAATTACGCACAACACTAGACAAACACAACGAGAAACTTATAGGACACTAATTACGCCAAAACAGAAACAGGTGTGAAAACAAACAGACCAAAGCAAACGAACAAGAAACAAACAGCGGTGGCAGCTAGAATTCCGGAGACGACGAACGCCGAAACCTGCCCGAACAAGGGAGAGAGGCAGCCTCGGCCGAAACCGTGACAAGGACCCATTGGGTGCCATTTGGGACGCATTCCAAACGTTTTCACTCAGGTCCCCCTTCCAGCACTGGGGAACATCCCACGTCTATTTCTATGTCTATTACTCTGTACACACCCCTCTTGTTGGTGGAGAGAAAATTTTGCAGGTTTAAAGCTTATTTCCTGTAACCCTTCACATTTTGTCATAGGGTGCTGAGAAGATTTTGCAGTTTTAAAGCTAATTGTCTTGCAATTCTATACATTTTGCCATGTCGTATGTGTATTCATGTGATATTTGAGTGACTTAAACATTACAACAAAATCTATGGGCTAAGTAAGTTGAAAGCCGGACTGAGTCCCCCCCCACACAGTTTGGGAACCACTGATATAGATAAGAGAAAGTTCTGTGTTTCACACAGAGAATTTGGGGGTTTATAAATCATCTACTTTAACTGCACAGGAGCACAGACGGCATATCTGGGTCACTGCACAGGAATCTCCACTTGACCCTGTAAATGTTATCAGTCCCACTTTAAACCCACTATACACCATCCCACAAGGCCCTCCTAAAAATCTGCTTGTGTGTGTGTGTGTGCGTGCATGCGCACGTGTGTGCCTGTTTGCGTGTATACTTAAGTGTGTGTGTGTGTCCACGTGTATGCCCGCACGTGTGTGTATGTATAATGCATATGTTTGCTGGGGCCCCCATGGAGTTTCTGTATGAACGGTTTCTGTGAGCACATTTATCATCACACAGAGAGTGTAATTTCTCAGAGCAGCATGAGTGGGCCTATCTCCCATCTGCCTGTCTCTGAAGGCCTGCTTCTGCTCTAAGAGATAAAGCTCACTTGGCAGAACCCAGCACCAGGGATACTGTACTACGTACTTGGCCTCCTCACTGAGCACTCATGAATCACTGGGTGTCATTGGCTGAGACGGAGAGAGAGGGAGAAAGACGCATGGCACCGCTCCTATGTTGATGATCAGTCACATGGCTGTGATGTTCATCATTTCTGGTTTAAGACATTGTCTCAGCAGCACTGTTCTGATATTCAGGCATAACATTCGGAATAGTCATTAGTTATTAGCATAACATTCGGAAGAGGTCATTAGTTATTTAGCAGATGCTTTTATCCGAAGCAACGCAAAGAATGTAAAGTATCAGATCCAAGGGAATTGAACCCATAACCCTGGCGCCAGTAACACTATAATCCAACCCACTGAGTATGCAGGCTATTGTTCTGTACTGCTCTGGAGTTCTGCACTGCTGTTGTGTTTGGTTCTAAATAAAGATGGGACCTTGGAGTTTTTCTGGGATATATATGCATCTCTCAGCCAAGGACACATAGACAGAGGACCAGGTACAGTCGTAGTAGAGGTGTGTTAATAGCCTGGTCACGTTTTGCATGACAATGACCACAGGAGTTTGCAAGACAGCACAAACCGATCTGGGACCAGGCTAGTGTGTTAACGCCTTATACAGCAGGCGAACTACAGCGATATGTTTGAGACACGGATGCAAATTGATGCTATAAAGATATGAGGCATCAATGATGCAGTAAAATACAAATTACTGTACTATGGCAGTATGCTTTAGCTTGCCATGTTCCAAGACTTGAAGGTCATGACAGCAACACCATCTATTTCCTCAGGCAAAAGCAGCAAAAAACTCTGTATCACATCAGTGCAAGATGTCGGAATGGGCCCCAGGACACCTGCACCAGCATGGTCCTATAGACCAGGGGTTTTCAAACTGGGATCCGTGGCCGAGTGTCAGAGTGGTGTGTGTAGATGAGTGAAAGGAATCAAGCGCAGGATCCAGGATGACTTCAACCGTCTTTATAGTACGTTCAACACGTGAACAAAATAGTCGCCAACCCAACCGGGTGGCGCAAAACAATTACGCACAAAACACAGTGCGAAAAACACAAGAAAAGCGCACGCAGTGCGAACTCTCGGGACAAGCCAACAACGAGAGAAAATGTACCCTAACGAGGCAGACTGACAATAAACAATCACGCATAACACCTGACCCAAACACACGAACTAAATAAGGAAAACAATTAAGACACAAATAAGGGACAGGTGTTATGAAACAGACAAAACCAAAAGAACATGAAACATAGAACGGTGGCAGCTAGTACTCCGGAGACGACGACCGCCGAAGCCTGCCCGAACAAGGAAGAGGAGCAGCCTCGGCCGAAACCGTGACAGTACCCCCCCCTTGACGCGCGGCTCCAGCCGTGCGCCGACCCGGAGCTCGGGGACGACCCGGACGACGCGGAGCAGGGCGCGCAGGATGACCCCGATGGAAATCGGTCAGTAGGGACTGGTCTAAGACGTCCCTCCTTGGCACCCAGCACCGCTCCTCCGGGCCGTACCCCTCCCACTCCACGAGATATTGAAGACCCCCCATCCGGCGTCTAGAATCCAGGATGGACCTCACGGTGTACGCCGGAGCCCCCTCGATGTCCAACGGGGGCGGAGGAGTCTCCTCAATCTCAAAGTCCTGGAGTGGACCAGCTACCACCGGCCTGAGGAGAGACACATGGAACGAGGGGTTAATATTTTTGTAATCAACAGGTAATTCTAACCTATAACTCACCTCGTTCAATCTCCTCAGGACTTTAAATGGCCCCACAAACCGCCGACCCAGCTTCCGGCAGGGCAGGCGGAGGGGCAGGTTTCTGGTTGAGAGCCAGACTCGATCTCCAGGTGCGTACACTGGCCCCTCACTGCGGTGTAGGTCGGCGCTCGTCTTCTGTCGACGGATGGCACGCTGCAGATGGACGTGTGCAGCGTCCCACGTCTCCTCCGAGCGCCGCACCCACTCATCCACAGCGGGGGCCTCGATCTGGCTCTCATGCCATGGTGCCAGAACCGGCTGGTACCCTAATACACACTGAAAAGGGGTTAGTTGGGTGGAGGAGTGGCGAAGAGAGTTCTGTGCCATCTCGGCCCAGGGCACATATCTCGCCCACTCCTCCGGCCGGCCCTGACAGTATGACCTCAGAAACCTACCCACATCCTGGTTGACACGTTCAACCTGCCCATTACTCTCCGGGTGGTACCCCGAGGTAAGGCTTACCGAAACCCCCAACCGTTCCATAAATGCTCTCCACACCCTAGAGGTGAACTGGGGGCCTCGGTCAGACACTATATCCTCGGGTACCCCGTAATGCCGGAAGACATGGGTGAACAGAGCCTCAGCGGTCTGTAGGGCAGTGGGTAGACCCGGCATGGGAAGGAGACGACAGGCCTTAGAGAACCGATCCACAACGACCAGGATGGTAGTATTCCCCTGTGAGGGGGGGAGGTCGGTAACAAAATCCACCGAGAGGTGGGACCAGGGTCGTTGTGGAATAGGCAGGGGTTGTAACTTACCCCTGGGCAAATGTCTGGGCGCCTTACACTGGGCACACACCGAACAGGAGGAGACATAAATCCTCACATCCCTAGCTAACGTTGGCCACCAGTACTTCGTGCTAAGGCAGTGCACTGTCCGGCCGATACCCGGATGGCCAGAGGAGGGGGACGTATGAGCCCAACAAATGAGGCGATCGCGTACCTCGAGCGGAACGTACGTCCGACCCACAGGACACTGTGGAGGACTCGGGTCGGTGCGTAACGCCCGCTCGATCTCACCATCAACCTCCCACACCACCGGAGCAACCAGACAAGACTCCGGTAGTATGGGCGTGGACTCAACTGACCTCTCCTCTGCGTCATACCGCCGAGACAGAGCATCTGCCTTCCCGTTCTGGGACCCAGGGATGTATGTGATCTTAAACACAAACCGGGCTAGGAACATAGTCCAACGAGCCTGGCGAGGATTCAGTCTCCTAGCTGCCCGGATGTACTCCAGGTTACGATGGTCAGTTAGAATGAGGAAAGGGTGTTGAGCCCCCTCGAGCCAATGCCGCCACACCTTTAGGGCCTGTACCACGGCTAACAGCTCCCTGTCTCCTACGTCATAATTCCGCTCCGCCGGACTGAGCTTCTTAGAGTAGAACGCACAGGGACGGAGTTTAGGTGGAGTGCCAGAACGCTGGGAAAGAACGGCCCCTATCCCGGCCTCTGACGCGTCCACCTC